GGCTTCTGGTTCCACCAACTATAGGGTCTTTGAGGCCAGGGACATACCTCTCATGTTTATCATGCCAGCACCTAGCATAGAGCCTAGCACAGAACTTGTGTTCAATAAATATTTGTGGGATGACAAGAGTGCCTAGTCTAGTGGGAGACACAAACATATATACAACTAAGTAAAGTAAGCTAGATGGCAAGAATGCTATCCAAGAAAGGGAAAAAACAGTAGGAAGCCCTGAGGGGACCTTCTACCTACATCCCCGGAGTCACCTTACCTGATTTCTCAGTTTCTTCAAATCCTGCTGCCGCCGCTGATAATGACAATAAACATGACCATGAGTGTGTACTCTGACAGGGCTGTGTGAAGCACTTTACATCAACAAACTCACTGAATCCTCCTAACTGCACTTCATTGATAAGGAAACTCAGGCTCAAGAAGAAGGCACTTGCTCAGCGTCAGACGATTGGTGGCAGAGCCACGATTTCAAACCAGGCCTTATCTCCTGAACCAAGGCTCCAAAGAGCACCCTATGCTGCTATTCTTCATCAAAAGTGAAATCTCCTCCCCAGTTATCAAAGTTGGAGAGACTCAACTGAACCCAGTTAAACCAGTAAGGTTGAAGTAAGATGCCTTTTGATGTTAACCATTCAAGTGAAAATGTATCTCAAGTTATTACACACCTCTGGGCTTTTTAAAATTATTATTATTTGATTTTTAGAGAGGTAGAAACATCGATGAGAAACATCATTGATCAGCTGCCTCCTGCACACCCCCTAGTGGGGATGGAGTCTGCAACCCAGACATGTGCCCTGGCCAGGAATCAAACCAGCAACCTCTTGTTTCATGGATCGACGCTCAACAACTGAACCACACCGGCCTGGCCTGGCTTAAGTTGAATATCTTAAATGTAATTTAACTTTTGTGGATGCCTCATGACCATTCCTGTGCTCATCACAGAGGATGCTGTGAAACAGTGTCCCCTTAGGAATGACTGCGCTGGGGTATAACCGATTGCCCTTGTATCCTGTGAGCACGTATAATGCTCATAATGGAGTTCCCAATCCACCCTCATGCCCATGCCTAGTTGAGCTATTATTTCTTGCTACTGTCAAAGTTTGTCTCTAGTAGCCAATCTGCTTTTGCTACCTCTAATCTTCTATGAGCCATGATACCCACAGAGATGTAACAGTCATTTGTGCTATTCACAAATCATTTCTGGCTCTTTGCTTCCCAAGCACATGCCAAGACTGCAACTCCCTGTGCTTTTTAAAGTTAGGCATGGCCAGCCCTGGCCAAGTAGCTCAGATGGATTGAGCATCATCCCGATATGCCAAGGAAATGGGTTTGATTCCTGGTCAAGGAAAAGAAATCAATCAATAAATCAATCATTCTCTCTCTCTCTCTCTCCCTCCCTCCCTCCCTCTTCCTTTCCCATCAATAAATTAAAAATAATTTAAATCTAAAGTTAGGCATGGCCATGTCAGCCAATGAAATGTGAATAAAAGTGACATATGCCACTTTGGGACAGAAACTTTAAAAGTCAGTTACCCTGAGCACCATCTTTCAGTCGATCAAAATTAACATGGAAATATCATGTCAAATGGAGTTTCCATCAGCCCGGGTCCGTGTGACTGTGAGGAGCAGAGCTCCCTGTGCACTCGTATGGGACATGTGGACTGAAAGAGAAGTCTACTTTTATTCTGTGAAGCCACTGAAGTCTTGAGGTTTTTGTTAATGGAGCCTAACACAGGCTCCAAACCAATACCCCAGATCTCTCAGGAAGCAATTCTCGCACACAAGTCACTTTATTTGCAGATTTTATGATGAATATTTTTTTGGTACAAAGAATTTTCCTTTGCAGCCATCCTGGTTCAAAGCTATATTCAATATAAAATATATTGGCCAGCCGAAACCAGTTTGGCTCAGTGGATAGAGCGTCGGCCTGCGGACTGAAAGGTCCCAGGTTCGATTCCGGTCAAGGGCATGTATCTGGGTTGCGGGCATATCCCCAGTGGGAGATGTGCAGGAGGCAGCTGATCGATGTTTCTCTCTCATCGATGTTTCTAACTCTCTATCTCTCTCCCTTCCTCTCTGTAAAAAATCAATAAAATATATTTAAAAAAATAAAAAAAATAAAAATAAAATAAAATATATTGGCCAAACACCTACTATGTACAAAACACTGCGCTAGATGAGAAAGAAGACAACCCATGTCTTGAAAGAACTTCAGTCTGGGATTGGCAACTGTGCCCAAAAAGGCAGACTCTGGTGTTATAATGGTTTAAACGAGAGGCAAGTCCCATCTAGGTGGGGAGAAGAGTACAGAAAGGTTTCACAAAGGAAATTTCTTATCAAATGGCCCTGAAACATGAGAACCAACAACTAGAGATTGAAAGGGGTCATTTAAGATAGAAAAAGCAACATGAGCAAAGATATAGAGCACAAAGAGCAAACAGTTCCACTGATCTGGAAAATATAATGAAATCTAAGGGAATGGCAAAAAATGAATTTGCCCATACTGCCCATGCCAGGCTTGGTCTGTGCTTAATTCAACAGACAGTAAAGAGCCATTAAATCTTGGCTGGGGAAGTGATGGTAGTACACAAGATGAATGGGAAGAAAGAAAATAATTTAGGGGGTTTCTGCAATAATTCAAGGGAATGGTATATCGAAGGCCCTAAATCAGTGTGATGAGAGGAGGAACAGAAAGAAGCAGATCCCAGAAATAGCGCAGAGGCAGTAGCAAAAGACTCTGCGTCCCAGCTGGTTTGGCTCAATGGGTAGAGCGCCAGCCTATGGACTGAAGGATTCTGGGTTCAATTCCGGTCAAGGGCACGTACCTTGGTTGCAGGCTTGGGAGGCAACCAATCAATGTGTCTCCCTCACACTGATGTTTCTCCCTCTGTGTCTCTCCCCCTCCCTTCCACTCTCTCTAAAAATCAATGGAAAAATATCTTCGGGTGAGGGTTAAAAAAAAAAAAAGAAGAAAAAAGAAAAAAAGACCCAGCCACCAGCTGAACCCAGGGGGAGAAAAAAGGCAAGAATGATTCTTGAAGCATGAACCCCGAGTAGTGGAGAGCACTGTTATTCCACACAGCTGAGGTTAATCAGCAAAGTCACAAGGCAAAAAAGGTGGCGCTGTGCCTCTTTCCTAATGGCTGGCTCCAGCGTCATCTGAAGTAAATACTACTTGTTTATCTTTTGCTCCATCTAGGAAAAGTTGCCTCTTAATTTGTTACTAGCTTACAGCCTGCTTTTTCCAACAGGAAACTCCCTGGAACCACCACAGGCATTCCAGGTTCTCCCCTGCCGCCATTACCATCCTCCACCATCCTCCATCCTCTACCATCCTCACTTTCTCATCTCTTCACTTCTCCTTCCTCATCACCCACCCAGGCCTTCCCACCCGTGCTCAACTGCACTCCTTTTCCTGCAGTCTTATAGTGTCCACTGCCTCAGAATCCTAGAGACCATATCATTACTTAACCAATTTCCAGTGTGCTCTTTATCCCCACAACTTACAGGCCCATTAGAGTAGGTCTCGAGTTCCCCACATCTGTATTGCTTTGCACCCAATATATACTCAATAGACACTATGGATTATCCAAAATCAATTGGTTTCTAAGAATATGCACATCTTATTTCCTCATGTAACATGTGAAATGGAGAGATTCATCACTTAATACTTCAAAATGTCCTTTAGTTAGTCTTTAATCTTAGGAGATGCTATTGCCTTAAGAAATTATTTGAAAATATCATTTTGTCATAAATCTTTGTGCCAGCTTCCTTTTAATCCTTTTGACTTGAAGGTATACCACAGTTCAGTGATCATCACTGCAGGGTGATTATGACCTAGAAATAACCGAATTTTCCATGCTGATTATTTTACTTTCAGAATCCTAATAAGTGCATTTTCCCCACCTTCCTGTTCAACTCGCTAAAGTATATGTATAGATTATGGATTTTCAACCTTTTTCATCTCATGGCACACATAAACTAACTACTAAAATTCTGCGGCACACCAGAAAATGTTACGTTTTTTGCTGATCAGACCAAAAAAAAAAAAATGGTGACATTTTGATTCGTTCACACCGGATAGCTATTGTTGTGTTGGCTGATGTCCTTTGTTATTTTACAGCCTAAGGGAAAAGAGTCAGTACCCCTGACTCTATAGTGAGTTACTGCACGTTTTAAAAGTTCTTGCCGAACACTGGCTGAAAATCGCTGGTATGGATCACTCAAGGTGTATCCATAGAAAAGTGTTGTGTGTGTGTGTGTGTGTGTGTGTGTGTGTGTTAACAAAGTAACAGCTGTCTTCGCTGGTCCCTCTCCCAATTAACTACAATGATTCAATTCCGTTTCACTCCTTCCTCGTGTCAGGGGAACACAAATAGAAATAACGTTTATTAAGGAATTATAAAAATAGCCCTGCTGTAAAAAGGAATCCAAAATATTCGTGGGACACTGTCCTAACCAAACCTCATCACTAAGACATTTCCTCGTGCAAGCGCGAGCGAGTCAACAGCGGGGAGAAGTGTCGCAGGAGAGGAAGCCGGGGCGGCGTACTTGCCGATCAAACTGGCCCCGGCCCCGAACACCTGGTGCCAGCAGGGCATGAGCACCGAGCCCGCTCCCCGTCCGCCGAGGCCCGCTCGGCTGCCCTGCACTTTCCCTCCCCTCCCCACGGCCAGGCCGGCCTGACCGCGTCCTCCCTCCGCGCCCAGGTGCGCGGCGCGGCGGGGTCTCGCGCGCGATGACCTCACGCCGTTCGGTCTGGGCCAGCCGTCCTCTCCCGCAGGCCTGGCAGCCCCGGGGTGGCCGTCCAGGGACGCGTCTTCCCGCCCGAACCCCCAGGCCCACCCGGACCTCATTATTCCCCTGCGTTAGCGCGCGCCGGCTCCGCGCCCGGCCCAGCCCGGGACGGCGGGGGAGGGGAGAGCGGGGAGCTCGGTGACCGTTAGCTGCGGTGGCGGCTGCACCCCGACGCACGCAGGACGGGCCCTTACCGCAGCGGAGAGGACGGCAGCGGGGAGGCGGCGCCCGGCCCGTCGCGGGCGGGAAGGCGGAGGCGACGGCGGAGGCGACGGCGGCGGCAGCCGCGGGGGACCCCGGAGGGCGCCCGGGACACGGTGGGCGGCATGGGCGCCGCCATAGTGGGGACGCAGCGCCAGGCGGAGCGCGCGGCCGCGACCCGGGGACGGCGGGACCACCAATCCCGCTCTCCGCCTCAGCGCCTCGCCGGGAGTCGGGCGTCCGCGGCCAATCGGCGCGCCCAGGCCGGGCAGTGGGCAGGCGCGGGCACCAGCGGCCCAATGGCACGGCAGCCCCGACTTTCCCGCCCCGCCCACCGCGCCCTCCTCGGGGGCTGGGGATGCGGGCGGTGCGGGGCTGCCTGCGGACGCCGCGGTCCCGGCGTGCGCGCTCGGCAAGCGCCCCGGCAGCACGTCCCGCTGGAGGCTACCTTCTCGCCTGGCTTCACTGCCCAGCCTTCGCGCGTTCTGGTGCCCGCAGGCCTCGCTGGCCTCCGGCACGACCCAGCCTCCCTAGGGCCTGTTTCTTCACCCGCGCGGTGGCCACGGGCGTTCCACGCCGAGGAATGCTGCCAGTGTTTCCCGAGGCCCGGGGCTTTGGACCTCCAGGGGCTGGGCGACCCTGCCCCATCTTGTGGGATGAGAGTGGACGGGGTTCCCAAGCTGCGCTTCAGTACCATCAGTTTCAGAGCCTCGCAAAAAGATTTTGTCGGGGGACAGGACCACTCCGCCCTGTCCCGTCCCGGCCCAGTCCGTTTAGCTTTTGCAGCTCTGGAGGTTCCAGCCCTCTCCCACTTCCCCCCCTCAGCCCGGCAGGTGGGAAGAGGTCCGCCCGGCTGCAATCCTTGGTTGCCAACCCAAAAATCCTAAAAGGAAGGCAGTTTGCCCTGGCAAACAGGCCTCGGGGGAGGAGCCTGCCTGACAGGCTGGCACAGTGAGGGAGTTCCGAACTGCAGGCTGTGTGTGATCTAAATAAAATCTCATTACCCCTTTAATCGTTTGTTTCCCCGTCGTTACCAGGCTGACCAAAATAAAAGCATAAACTTTCTAGAAAAATTGATAAGAACTCTGCTGGGATAAGAGCAAGAATCCCAGCTATGCAGGTGCTCGAAGGCAGTTGGCCGTGGAGGTGGTGGGACCCTGCCAAGTCTGAGGAAGTGTTCCTCTCCAAAGGTACTGCTCCCCAGGCTCGCCAATCCACTAAGGCTTGCCTCTGCCCATCTTACCAGTGACCCCTGGGAATCAGTGGGTGCTGCACAAAAAGGCCAGCCTCCTTTCTTGGCCCCAGGAGGGAGCTGGCATAGAATAGTGTTTTTGAGACCTGCTGCTCCGTGCCCCAGAATGAGACCCCAGGAAGCAGCCGCCTCCCAAGCCCCAGGACCAGAGAAGCACTGAGAATTGCTGAGCTGACCCACGCCTCTCCTGCACCTGGACTGGCCATGGAACCAAGAGGCCACCCAGGGACCAACAAGAGCAGCTGTGTTGTGCCAGGTCCAGCACCTATTCCCCGCGCCTCCCTGGCCTGCTGATGTGCTCTCCCCGTCCACCTGGACCTCAGGGGCCCACCAGGCACAGGGACCAGGTCTTCCTGCAGGAAAGCTTCTCACCAACTAGACAGCTCAGAGCAGTTTCAAGACCCCCCTGGGGTTCCTCTGGGGTTCAAGTCCCTTGCTCTTCTAGCACCTAAAATGTACTCCCTTTCCAGCTGGCTCCACAATTTGTACGGAATAGAGATTCTGGGATGAACTTGACCAGCTCAGGAATGAGCCAGAAGTGAGAGATCAAATTCAGTTCTACAGGCTGAGTGGTGGTCTGGTCTTTCCTTTACTCCTCCTCCTTCCAACCTCTAAAGTGGGGGAAACAACGGGTACTCAGGCCAGAGGTGCATCTGTCCCCGTCCCACCACACTACAGCACCAGAACTTGACGAGGAACCCATGTTCAGGAGTCTTCTTAATACATGGCCCTGCGCCAGAGCCTATGCCTCTAGACCAGTGGTCGGCAAACTGTGACCCTTGAGTGTGGCTCTTCCACAAAATACCACGTGTGGGCACGCATGTACAGTGCGATTGAAACTTCGTGGCCACACTCAAGGGGCCAAAGAGCTGCATGTGGCTCGCGAGCCGCAGTTTGCCGACCACTGCTCTAGACACACTCTCAGCCTGACCTTGGGCCACTCCAGCTCCTGGGGGCAGACACAGCCAATCCTCTGCTCAAGACATGTTATTGCTAAGGACAAGGTGATGCACCAGTTTTCAAAATAATTTGGTTTATAGCGTTCATAAGTAACAAAAACCAGGGAAATATTATAAATTTGATTCTTGTATACACAGGGTACAGGTGTGAAGACCTCCAATCCTGGGCCCAGGCAAACAAATTCATGAGGAGCAAAATCAGTGGGCCCCTTCAGTGTTGCCCCCCAGCCCCACCCTCACCCCCCCATATCCACTCCCTCCCATCCCCAGACCAGGGGCAAACCTGCCCCTGGCCACCAGTGGCCCCAATTCATCTTAACCCTCCCAGCTCCCACACTGATTGCAATTTTCTGTCGAATCACCACCAGGCTCTGCCTGCTTCCATCATTAAGATCCTCCTGCATGGTATTCCCCACCCACACCCTCTAATACTGTGCCACAGGGGCTCTGTGTCTAGAGAGATGTGGGCACACACCCATGTGACCCCTCTCTTCTTCAAGAGGGGACAGAAGAGGTGGCCTTAGCTCCTTAGTATCGCAACACTGCAGCTCTGCCAGCATTCCCTTGAGGCAGTTCAAGGGACAGACGCCACACCCATCTCCAGCCAACCCCAGGGGCCCTTATTCAGCTCAGCTGAGGGCAGAATTTCACATTTTGTTTGCCCTGGATAGGCAAAGGAAGGAAGTAAAGGCCAGGGGCTGGCAAAAGCTGGTCCAGACCAAACACACACACACACACACACACACACACACACACACACACACACACATAAATACAAAAGGGGGAAGGGAGGGAGCAAGCACCAGCACCTCTTCCTAGTTGGTGCAGGTGATCATTAGGAAACTAAGTTCTAGGCCGAGAACAGGGCAACCAGTCCAGCTAGCAGAGTCGACCCCATTAGAGACCATGCGGCCACAGCATTCCTGTGCTCAGCCCCTCGGTGGGAGCTCAGCGGCTGTTGCCACAAGTCCAAGAACGGCTTATCCTTTCACTAGAGGTGAATGCGATGAGGGTGGGGTGAGAAGACGATGGGGTTGGTTATTTCATTCCTTTGCATTTTACAACTTCATTTTAGAGACTTCAGAGTTCGAAGGGTCTGCTGTGCTGTGGAGCCTCCAGAGTGTTCTCGCCTTGGTGGCTGGGAATCTCTTGGCTCCTGGAAGCACCTACTCCATGATGGCCCGGTAGAGTGCAGGCTCAATGTAATCTTCCCGGTATCTTGAGTTGATAACTCGCTGCCGTTTCTTTTCCTGTTTAACCTCCTTCTCTGTGAAAATCTCGTTGAAGCGCATGTCTGAGGCTACTGACTACAGGAGAACAGGCAAGCCAAATGAGCACTTTGTGGCCAACCACCATGAGAAAAGAACAAAGGGCACACCCTTGCCTTGTTCCCTTCCCCCCAGTCAGGGACCAAGGGCACAAAGAACACACTCACCAGTCTAGACTTGACTCTCTTGGGAAGCTCTTCGTCCAGCGTGTATACATCATCTCTCTTAACCACAAGCTGTGAGCCGTCCTCAAACTCCACCTACCAAGGAAACACAGGCTTTGCTAAGATATCCCTGACTCTCTCTCTGGGCCACCATGCACACTGGCCATTTCCTGCAGTCATGGGAAGAAATCAGAACACTGAAGGACTGCCATGTTAGAAGCCACAGCTGGACACAGAGCAGCCCCTAGCTCTGAAAGGGTTATTCCTGAGTCCCTCAGCTCTCTGAAGAGCAAAGACACACCTCTGGCCCGAGAGGAAACACTGAATTAATCAGGTACTTTCCCAACCCCCAAACCTTTGGCTACCTGGTACATCTGGATGGGGTGGGAGGCCACGAACTTGGCTCCATAGACTTGGCCATCTGTCCACCGCACTTGAACCACTTCCCCTTCAGCAGGAGGACCCAACTGGAGACAATCCTGACTCTGAGGGAACAGTAAGAGAAAAGAGTGAAAGGATGTCCATCTGAACACAGTGGTAACCACCATCTACCTCAGGAAAGAATAGGCCAGGACGAATTCCTGCTCCTGTGGAAATACTCAGGCACTGGCTCATGCCGAGGCATGATGCTGGTCTTAAGCGAAAATACTGTGTAACTGTTTGAGTTGTGAGTTGAAGCAGCTGCTCATTGCATGGAACATAAGCTTTACTTGAAAAAATGACAGAACAACTAACTATGGTTACGGGTACAAACGTATTCAGATTGGGTATTGGCAGACATCTTGAAAATGAATGAAGTGAACCTGTCACTTCAAAGAAAACAACTGACATTATCAAGTATTGCCAATGACAAAAATCTAAGCTTTCAAACACAAATTAGAATTTCAGTAAAGTTTTATCACCAAATTGAGCTTGAAGCCTCCCAAAATTTAAAGATTTTTCTGAGATTAGTTATACAAATGAATGTGATTTTGAGAGTGTATAAGAAAATTTAACATTGGAAAGGTCTGCAGAGCCCATTGCACCAATATGTACAATGTTATAAAATCATGCACAGGTGAGAAATCCATTCTCAGTACAGACAGACCAATGGACTTTAATGTAACAGACATGCAAAGTTCACTGACCTGCTTTCAGACTCAATTATCTGAAAGGCTAGTAAAATACTCCTCCCCTTTCCAATTCCATTTGTCTGCAAGACTAAATTTTCTTCATATATTTTAACCAAAACAATAAATTGCAACGGAATGAAGACATGACATTAAAGATATTTTTAAAATTATAAAAAATGGCATTCTTCCTAATATTTTTGTTTTAAAAGGAAGTTATTTTTACCCTCAACAATAAAGATAAGTAAACTTTAAAAAAAATTAAATAAAAGAAAGTTATTTTTCATTATAGATTATTTCAAATCAATCAATCTCAATTTTAACTTCTAATAGAGTAAATACTGATAGACACAACCCACAAAACACAAGTTGTTTGAGGTCCTCAGTAACTTGTAGGGAGAGTCCCGAGATCACTGTCTGTAAGTTAGAGATAATACCACCCACTTCTCAGAGTGGGTATGAGAGCTGACAGAGACACTTGACGTAAAGCACTTAGCATACTGCCGGGCACATTGGAGAGCTTAATAAATCATACATATTTTATTCCCATAAACACTGTTATTATCATCTTTTCTACCTTGTTATAACTAATGAATGTGCTTTTAGTAACTGCATTGCTAATGTGGCATAAACGGGGAAAATACCTGATTTGTTAAAAGGAGTGGCTCAGTCCCACTACCTTGATGCTTAGTTTAACACATGAAAAAGCAAGGCAGGGGTAGGGGAAACCTGAACTAAGTCCTGAATACTGAGCCAGGAAAGCTAGGATTGGGTCCAGGCAGGGCTTGTGTCTCAGGTGTTGATGAGATAAGCCGGCCAGAGGTGTCTCCAAGCAGTTTCTGCTCAGACCCAAAACCTTCTGCTGTAAAACCCCAAAAGCTGCCCAGTAGGTGTGGCTCAGTGGTTGAGCATCAACCTTATAAACCAGGAGGTCACGGTTTAATTCCTGATCAGAGCACACGATTTCGGGTCCATCCCCAGTTGGGGACATGCAGGAGGCAGCAGATCAATGATTCTCTCTCATCACTGATGTTTCTATTTCTCCCTCTCCCTTCCTCTCTGAAATCAATAAAAACATATTTTAAAAAAATAAAAACAAAAAGAGAGAGTTAGCTGGGTAATTCTCCCAAATCCACACAGCTACTAAGCAATGGTGCTGGTTCATGAACACGGGCCTGATCCCAAAGCCTGGGCCCCCTCACGGCAGAATGCCTTCAAGGGTAGTTTAGACCGAAATACAAGCATGTTTCAGAGAAATGCAGAAAATGCTGACTCCTATGAGCTCCTAGAGCAGGTGCAGGGAACCTTTTCTGCCAAGGGCCATTTGGATATTTATATCATTCACAGGCCATACAAAATTACCAACTTAAAAAATTAGCCTGCTATATTTTGTCAAACATTTAATTAATTACCTCACGTCTAAAGCCTTGGCAGGCCCAGACCAAATGATTTCTCAGGCCTTACGCAGCCCGCAGGCCAGACATTCCCACCTCTGTGCTGGAGGAAGCTCCGTACCCCAGCAGCAGGCAACTTCATTTGCATGGAAAGACCAGTACAGTACAAAGGCTTTTTTTGTTCTGGGCCCAACTGATGAAATCATGGGTTTGACTGAAAAAGGAAGGCCCACAACCAGTCTCCCAGCCAGACCTAGAAATACTCCAGTCCCAAACTGCCCAAGAGGCTCCTTTCAGAAGTTACCACTATGTCCTCAGGATAGAGATTGTCGCTGAAGGAGCCATCATCAAAGTTGACTTCATAGAAGGTCTCGGTGGTGAGCCTGACCACCTCACACTGGTAGAAGCGGCCGTTCTTGTGCTTGCTAATGACCTTCTGGCCTGCGGTGATGCTCTGCAAGGCCCCCTTGGCACGCTGGAAAAAACAGAGGCTTGAGTTACTCCCACATGGACTTGATAGGTCTGGCAAATGGGGCCCAAAATCAACTGGTCCCTCTTTACCAGGGAAAGATAGCAAAGGAATGAAACAGTAAACAGGAGTAAGAGATGGGAATTGAAATAGGTCTTTCCAGATATCTACACCCCAGCTAGGACAATGGAAGAGACTAATCTCCTACTTGCCTGCATAAATGTAGCTCTTTTCTAGTTCCTAGTCCACAACTATCTTCGTACCATACTGTCTTACCCCAAACTCCCTGAACAGACTCCTCTGACTTCCCTATTTGTTGACAGGAACTGACCAAAGAGCACCTACTAACACACAGCACATCAACGTAGGCCTCCAACAGGTGATCCGAGGTCCAGGCCCCCGACAGTGCTCCACACAGACCTGAGCACTAGCTCGGCCTCGCCGCGAGGGCACAAACACTGCGTTTCCCTGGACGCCCTCGGTTGCACACGACAGTGGCTCTCCAGTGCAAGTGCCCTGCCGTCTCTGGGACCTGCACGTCACCCTTCTCATTCTCAACTCGTCTTTGACGTGAATGGGCTCCCAGAGCACCTGTGGTCTCATGTCCACTCTTCCCCAAACTGCCCATGCACTGCCCATGCTGGTCTTCCTGCTGTTCACGGAGCACATGTGCCAAGCATGCTCCACCTTGGCGTGTTTGCACTGCTGTTCCCTCTACCTGAAATGCGATTCCCCAGTTCTATGCATGCTGTTCCCTCACAGCCAAATGTCAACTCATTGATGCCATTCCTCACGACCTCCTCTTCCACTCCCCTCATCCTGCCTCAATTTTATCCATCGTACTTCTCCCATTGGATATAAGTCTACTTGTTTCATGACATGTAGTACATGCCCAATAAATATGTGAAGAATGAATTAATAAAAGAAATACTCAACAGTATCCCCGTTTTCTCACAGCATCAGCAGCCTAAGGCCACCCATTTAAGGATGTAAGTGCAACTGATAATCACAAAATCACTACCGTTTCACAACAAAACTTCTACTTCCCTCCCAGAGCCAGGACTCAATGCTACCTCAGGCTTTTACTCCTCCAGAGTCTCATTCTTACATCAACTATTTTTCCATCTTCCTAAGCTCCTAACTAACCGCAGACCACCACTCATGCTCAGAAAAAAATGCTTCTATGGAAGACGAGAATCCAGCCAGCCAACAGGACTTTAGTAGAGGGAAAGGGTTAGATGTGACCCCAAAGCTCTACCTATATGTTCCCATTTCAGACCTCATGTCTCTCCTAAGCTAACTGGTCTCCCTGACTCAAAGTCTTATTATTCCTTTAATCCACAACTATCCAGACTGACAAATTTTTAAAATGTAGCTCAAAATCATAATATTGGAACAGTTCTCCTCGTCTAATGGCATTACAGAGTCCCGGCGTTCACCCTACAGAGCTGCTTGCCCTTCAGTATTGTCCCCGCCAGGGGCTCAGGACCAATCTTACATGTTCATTCTCCTGAGACTTACCTGTTCTGTTTCTGAAGCCTGGAATGCCCTCCCACTCCCAATTACTACTTATTGTTTAAGACGCACTTCAAACACTACTTTCTACCCACACTCTTCCATGAAACTCCTCTAGCTAAAATTACATGGACCTTTCACTGAGCTTCAACATTTAGAGAAGTTCAAAATTTCCACTGTATGGTAGCAGATGGTTAACTGCTGGAAGCGCTCCCCATCAGTTCACATTACAGCGCTTCTGCTATGTCCCTGACACTGTGTTAAGTAGTAGGGACACTCGGATTAATAAAATTTGGACCTCAAGGAGTTTATCTTGGAGGAGAGGCAAACAAGTAAACAGATGATCAGAATGAATCAACCACAAGCAGTTTGGTGCCACTGAATTAGAAAGCGCCAGGCAGGGAGCAGAGATGGACAGGGGCCATCTCTTAATGCCTTCCTCATTAGCGCTCTTCATAAAGCACAATGCTTGAGGAATATTTGCTGACACAATAAGCGAACAGCCTGCAGAGAAAATGATCCTGGAAGCTGTCAAGAGGATGCTAGAATGGCACCCTCCCTCACCTCCAAATTAGGAATCCTGTGCCGAAAGCAGGTAATGAAGACGACAAAAGGCCAGTCATCCGGCTGCATCATCACTCCTGCAGCCTGGGCACAGCTCACGTGGAAGGCAGTTGGGCAGCGGCCGTGAGAACACTGCACACAGCAGCCGGCAGTTCTTTTCCTCCGCTTCTTACAGAAGACGCATTTCTACGACACAGGAAGCAAGCTGATGATTCCAGAACCAGCAATGCAGTCTCCTCTACCTCTTCGCCCCCACCCCCCACCCCAATGCAGAGCCAGGCCAGCAGGAGTCAACCTCCTTCCCAAACAGGGGGGCGCACACACCCTCTTGATCTCATGTCTGATTCTGGGTGTCCTCATCAAGTACTTTAACCACAGGGTGAGTATCACAAACCCTGGCCAAAACCAAGGGCTATAAAAAAATAAAAATAAATAATAAAAAAATAAAATAAAAAACATAGAATTAAAATAAAATAAAATAAAATAACCAAGGGGTAAAGGCTGGCCACTGGCCAAGCAGAGATTGCCCTCAGAAGTGCTAAGTGACTAGGAAACAGAGTGAGGATGTGAGTCTGCAGGCCCATCTTGTCTTCCTTACCAGCTTGAAGCGTGGCAGGGGAATTTTGCTCACGTCCACGGGACTTCTTTCTGCGATGTTGACAAACCTCGCTTCCAGAATTGCCACAGCACAGGAGACATGGACCCACCTGCCAGAAGGGAAAGGCTACCTCAGTCACGTCTGGCTCCAACGCCCTGCGGCCTCCTCACTCAGGCTGGCCCGCAGACGGTGCTTCCGCCCTTGCCCAACATGACCTCCAACTCCACCAGCAGGCTCCCGGGACCCCGTGAGGTAAGAACCACAGTGTCTCCACAATGAGTGTGCAAACAGGTCTGCCCTGGGTTAGCACGGGGCTGCACATCTTCTACACTAACGTGCTCACAATCTGTTGCACGATGAGCAGAGCTAATTGAGTGTGGCAGGTTTGGGGAAGTGAGAATAAATTAGAGAGCTCTAGCTACACCTCTTTTACTTTAAGACCTGGGTGCTTCCTCAAATGATCTCCAACTGTGCCCCATCTGCCAATACTCACAGCTTTCCCCTGCAGCCTTTGCTCAAACCCTCCCCTGGGCTGAAATGACCTCTTCCTTCTGCTCCCTTCATCCACAGCAGACTCACTCTTTAAGGTCTGGCCCAAGCACCCACTTACTCGACAGGTCTGTTCAACGGACATCCTCAGAGGGTGAAGTAAGTTCTGGGCATTACAGGAAACTGTCGTGCCCGAAGATGAGAATGAAGATGGTGAAAGCACTTACAATCAGCCAGGTGGAAACCTACCACAGACAGCGGTAGTTGGGACTACATGGAGCTGTCTGCTCTGTAACAGGGCTATTATATGAGAGTGGGAACAGATTTTTTTGCATGGCCCTACAGGGCCGAACAGGGATCATAAAGTAAAGGTGCAAAGCTCAAGCCGAGCCAATTCCACTCCAAATACGGAAGGACTTTAGTAGCGCTATCTTGCAATTGTGAGGAACACGATGACCTCAAGTAATGCCAGCAAGTGCCTTTAAAGGAGTGGGAGCAGCAAGCAGAGCAGCGCCCATCTGAACAGCATGAAGGCGGTCCCTGTGCGGCAGGAGGCTGGACAGAATGCTGCTCCAGGTTCCCACAGGATTTTAGCTAGAAGCAGGGTATGAACCACGGCTGCCCACCAACCTGCGTGCACCAAACCCCGTTCACCTCAGAACCAGTAAGCGAAGACCAAGCACAAAGACTCAGCTCAGTGAAAATGGGCTCCTGACAGGCGAGAAGCCCAGCTCCGGGCTAAGGCCAGAGAGTTCTGTAGGTTTGGTTCAGCAGTGAGTAGTCCTGGCTGAGCTCTCCTCCAATGTCCCCCTCTCCTCCTTAAGGACACTCGCCCTCGTTCTGAACAGGTGTGAGGAGGGAGAGCCTGCCTGTGGAAAGCGCTCACTAGCCATGGCTGTGGCACCTCTGCACCGGCCCGGCCACAAAATAACTGCCCTCACTTCCAGCCCACAAAGCCCGGCAACCATCTCAACAGGATCCTCTCGGCCTCGAGCGTCCATCTCAGCACCTGCCAAGGAGCTGCTCACAGCTCTTCCTCACATGGGAAGATGGACTTGGAAAGGGGACCTCTTGACTCCCCCGGCCTCTCATTTCTAAATTAGTCTTGAAGATGCTACTCCAGCTCCAAACCTCCTCAGTCATGCTGATGAGCAGCCACAGCCCGAGTGCCTCGCACGCTGCCGCGGAACTGCATGTTTCAGACACTGCTCCAAGCTCACCTGTCGTCGTTGGCTCTCTGCAGGGCTCCTCCTCGTAATGAGCATAAACAGCAGTCCTGCCAAGAAGGGAGGGGAGGGGATGGTTACCACCAAGTCATCAACACCCAGTCTGCTCCCCCTCGACTTCCTTTGGGCAGCTGCAGCCTCCACATAAGAAAGCAGCCAAGTGTCATGTGGGCTGCGTGGGCGAGTCTGTAACCAGGACTCCCCGGAGGAAGACGGAGAGGCCAGTCGGGGCTAAAGTGCACCAAGTGTTCGCTTGACTTAACATAATCCTCTTTGCTGTTACTGTTAATAACAACAACTATAAGCAAAGTCACGAAGGGCACCCTGTTCAAACCAGAGGCACCGTGGGGTTCTGACTGCCTCTTATGTGGGTACTGCCAGGTTTGGGGGGTAGGGGGTGATGAAGAGAAAGCTTAAAAATGAACCATCCGAGCCCCATTCTAGTGCTCGAACCCAGGGCTAAGTTCTTTAAAGGGGGTTAGGGCTCGTCCACAAGAGGATCTCTACTTGGTCCTGACACCACAGAGCAAACACAGCTTCCAGATTCCAGCCAGGCCCTGCCATGGGCGGGCAGCACCCATCTCACTGTCACGGCGATTTATTCTGAGAATCCTCGCTCAGGCCCCGTGCAGACTGCCGGGGAGAGGAAGTCCACAGGAAATAGTCTGGCCCTGAGCGGGCCCCAGGTCTCACAGGGAAGAGAGGAACAGTGTGGGCGCACTCACCTCCTCCAGGGCGTTGGCTGAACATCGAGAACACATCCAGTCTTCAGAAGCCTTGGCAGGGGGGACGCCATAGCAACCTAACAGGGATACCGAGGTGAGCAAATGAAACCCAGAGGCCAGAGTCAGAATGAAGATTTGCAACACTATTCTATACAGCACGTCCCAAAGCTACAACCAAATTTTACAGAAACCCCTAAATTCCAGCAAGGCCCCTAAGGTTTAGCCTCAAACGGTCAGAAACTGTAGATTCACTGGTTCCAACACCTAGTGAGGAGTGAGGACAAATCCCTCCCAGTAAGTGAACCAAGAGGCCAGCACAGAGCCGGCTGTGAAAGCACAGACCCGGAGTCACAGGAAACTCAAACTCAACCATAACCAACTCCCCAAGGACGACAAGCAACCTTTGCTCTGGGAGCCTGGGGGACTGGGGAGGCCACGGGGAGGCTGGGGGAGAAGCCAATGGGGGCAAGGACTTCCGACGAGCAGGCCCACGCCCCCCGGACCGGAAACAGGGAAAAGGTGAGGCACTCACTGGCGTGGACCCGGACACTGCACTTCTTGCAGGAAACGAGCATGCTGGTGCCATCCTCCTCGAGGTAAGGGGTGGAAAGGTTGATGTCCGTGCTACAGCCAGTGGTGGTGAAGCACATTTCTGGAATCAATGGCTTGGTCCTCTGCTTCTGGGGGGCTAAATCTGGAGCATCTGCACAGTTCTGACTGAGGCCTCCAAACTCAACCTACGAGAGAGCGAGAGCACACCTCAGTGAACATGCCTGCGCCCTGGGCCTCCACCTGCTCCGTCAGCAGGAAGCTGGCTCTCTCACTGATATGACTGTGGCTGCGGCTCCCGGGTGCACAGCCATTATCCCCGAGCTGCTAATTGAAGTTACCTCTAATGACTCAAATTCAATTTCTCACAGCAGCACCAAACAAAGGCCCCTCGGGGACAACTGGGAAACGGGAGCGAGGTAAGAGGCAACTGGGATTTCAATCTTCCCAAACCAAATGGTAATAAAATGCACCGAGACGTTAGCAAGGCTGCTACTGTGGGCTCCCCTATGTGCTGCACCGCACAGCAGCCCCACCCAGGCAGCTCGCCCAGAGCAGGTGCCCCCTACGGGCCAGCACTGATTTCCCGGGTGGTCCATGTCCTCAGGTCACCTGCGCTGCAGGGAAGCCTGCGATTCCCGCCTGGGGGCCCTTCAGAAAAGCATTATGTCCACATACTTCTCCTGGCAAACATCCTGACTACAAATATCTGCCGGCTCTGCCGCTGGGTGGCACCATCACCCCCACTGCAAGGATGGAACCCAGAAACATGTCATCCCTAAGCCCACGCCACTCATGAAAGTGAGCCGCACTCGGTGGATCTGCTGACAGTACAGCCAGGACTTTTACTTCACCTCAAAGGCAAGGGCACACGCAGACCTTTTTGTTTTGCTTTTCGTCAATGGAAAGAAGCAGTGAGTTCAACCCAAAATGTGTTGGTCTGAAGTTCCATTCTTTGGCAAGCATGAACCTGGTGCCCTGCCAGGCTCAGTGGCAGCCACGCCACTTTAACCACCATCGGAAGACTGGTTATTTACATGCCACCCTGGGCAGGCCACAGCTGAGACGGAGCTGGTCACCTGGGACATGCTGCTGTGGATGCCTTCCTGGCCTCCGAGAGCTGGACCCAGAGAGACCCATAACGGTGAAGCCATCAAATGTCCAGGAACGGGAGGGGCACAGCCGGACTCAGCCTCAGCACCTCCCACCCCCTCTCACCCATAAGCCTTCGGCTCCTACCCTCCCAAGCTCCTTTTCACTACTGCCAATATCCACTGTGGAAACGGGACAGGAAAGGAGAGGATCTGGCTTTTCATCTGAAATCCAGACTAAAGAAACACTTCATCCTCCAGGCTGACTGGTCAGGACTACCAACCACCTGGAAGGAATAATTACTGACTAGAATGATGACGAAAGAGCAGATTCCTCTGCAAACAGTGTGCGTGCCCAGGGGCACCCCCACACCTACGCCCCATCATCAGCTCTTCTCCAAAGCACTCTCCCATGAAGACTCGCATGGTCGGGTTATCTGCCCACGAACGATGACTGGCACGTGGAGGGGGCGGAGAACAGCAGCAAAGCGTGCCTTCCCAAGGCCGCCAGTGACAAGCTGTGTACCCACAATTAAACCTCGCTTCCCTCTGACTGCTGGTCCTCGGCAAACAGGGGATGGAGTGGGCTCACCTGATGGTAAGTCTGAAAGATCATACAGACAGAGCAGTGAGGGGCCTGCTGGGCCATGGTCTCATTGAATTCCTTTTCGGCCTCGAAGTTCGGGGGTCGGTTCTGCCATAGTTGGCTCAGGGGCTTAGCCCAGGCCTCGGTCTCCTCAGCCTCCTCCTCGGGGGTCAGCTGCTCAGATGCCTCTAGAGAAGGAAGCAGAGCAGGAGTTAGCACATCCACGGCTCTGCCGGGGAGCACATGGGCTCAGCCAGGACTCTTGGTCCCAGGTGTGGCCTGAACCCAAGACCCTACGGTGATAAAGGCAAAGGGCAGAAGTGATTTTCCACAAACTGTCAATACTTGGGTGACGGTGCGGGGAGTCCTGCCTGCAGCAGCCCTTTCTCTGGCCAGAACCGTTCAGGGTCTCTGCTCTCCCGCTTGGCGCAGAAGTCCGCCTGCCCGCCGGCTGCCCGCACTCACTCCTCTGCCCAAGGGCAGCGGAGTGAAACCCTGCCTAGAAGCCGTGCTACTTGCTGCCTCCAATGTCAGCATGTTGAGTCCTTACCTTTCAAGTTTTTTCTCTAGTTGCACTGAAGGGAAACAAGGATAAAAAACAACAGGGAAATGCCAAGGCTTATGAGTGTTTAGATCACTGCCTCTGGTCAGAACTTTCCGGCTCCCTCCGGAAAGGTCAGTGGGCTCTCTGCCTTTTCTGGACCAGGCTCACCAACCCAGCTGGCTCTGCCTCCGAGGAAGGCAGAGTGTGCCCAAGATGAAGCTTTGGCCCAGCTGCAGGAGTAACACCTGAGTCTAGACCAGGGGCTGGCTAGGGACCAAATCCAGCCCACTCAGGGAGCTAAGAATTGTTTGTGCTCACAAATGGTGGTGTTGTATTAAAATAAGGCTTATTTCTTTCCTAATTAAAAAACCACCTTTGTGTCTGTAAAGGAAAAAAAGAATTGTTTTTGCATTTTCAAAGGGCTGGGTGAAAGCCAGAATGTGTGACGGAGATGAGGCCCACAAGCCTGAAATACTTCTATCTGGTCCCTCACAACCCCTCATCTAGAGAGCAAGGCATCTCTCTTCATTACTCTAGACAGCAGAGCACATACTTGATCGGGCCTCAGTACTGCCTACAGAGGAAACCCCCTCTGGGCACATCTTCCCAAAAGAAAGGGACACACACCGAATGAACACAAAAAACTGCTCACAAAACAAGCTGCACACTTTCCAGTTCCCCCAAATCATCAAAAGAAGATGGCACAGCACACTAGCTGCTCCCAGTAGAAATAAAGTCAAGAAGGTAAGGAGCCCTAGCGCAGGGGTCCTCAAACTTTTTAAACAGGGGGCCAGTTCACTGTCCCTCAGACCGCTGGAGGGCCGGACTATAGTTTAAAAAAAAAACTATGAACAAATTCCTATGCATACTGAACATATCTTATTTTGAAGTAAAAAAACAAAACGGGAACAAATACAGTATTTGTATTTGCACATGGCCCGCGGGCCATAGTTTGAGGACCCCTGCCTAGCCGATTTGGCTCAGTGGATAGAGCGTCAGCCTGTGGACTGAAGGGTCCCGGGTTCAATTCCTATCAAGGGCACATGCCCAGGTTGCGGGTCAATCCCCAGTGTGGGGTGTGCAGGAGGCAGCTGATCAATGATTCTCTCTCATCACTGATGTTTCCTTCTCTCCCTCTCTCTCTCTCTTTCTCTCTCTCTCTCTCTCCCTCCCTCCCTCTCTAAAATCAATAAAAACATATTTAAAAAACAAACAAAACAAAGAAAAGAAGGTAAGGGAAGCCCCATAACTCTAACATGATGAATGAGGGCAATCATGGCCAGAAGCAGCAGCCAATCCCCAATAAACTGATGCCCAGTGTTTCTCCTTGTGCTCCCCCAGTGAGGGAAGTCTGAGAAATTATAATCGGGATGCCCCTCTTTGACAAGTATTCAAAAAAAGGCTCCCGTATGAAGCCCCTGACAGGAGCCTGGCTGTGCCAGCCCCACATGAGGGCCTCATGGGAGCACTACACCTCGCCTTGTGTGGGCACAGCAATCCCCAGCTACAGCCCCTCCGAGGGCCTTCTCGGTTCTTCCCACACGGAAGTGCTTTCCAAGAGGCCCTGGAGACCGTGCAGCGCAGCCCAGGAACGCTCTGGCATACGGTGCACCAGGTGCCCATCCACTTGTTCCCTCTGGCAGCTCCAGCTCAGGGCTCAGTGCAGATAAACCGCTATCTAGTCCACCTTTATAGGCTATCTAGTCCACCTTTATAGTCACGTTTAGTTTACGGGGATCTGGCAGCTGCCGTGAGTGTGACCTCAGGGAAGGAGCAAATCGGAGCGACCTGAGGCCAATGCAGACAATTAAAATCAGCCCCAGGCCCCACCAGGAACCATGGTGTCAACCCAAAGCACAGGCATTTTCTGCATCCCGGCCAAACTAAGAGTGACCAAGACAGGACCGAAGAAACGGAACAGCCTCACAATCACAAGAGAAAAGCTAACGCACCGACATCTGTTCTGGTTACAAAACCATGAAGTGGCCAAAAATCATCCCGTTTGTGAATATTAAATGATGTAGAGAAATGTTCACTGTGTTATGTGAAAATTGCAGGACTCAAAGGTTTACAGTTTACATATATAAACTTCATTGAGCTGTACAGTTAAGACGTGTGCATTTCACTAAAGGTTATGCCTCACATGAAAAAAATTTCAGTGGGGAGGGGCACACGAGGCTAAAAGAGACTGAAGAAACACAACTTCCAAAAGTGTGACCCCAGTTTGGATTGTACTGGTTTAAAGGGGAAAAGCTATAAAACACATTTTGGGGCTAGGCAGGGAAAAATGAAGATGGACCGAGGACTGGTGGCTATTATGGAATCAGTGCCTATTTTCCTAGGTGTGATCACAGCAGTGTTTATATAGGAGGCCATCCTTCTTAGCAGAAGCTGTCAGTGTATTTTAAGTGAAGTGGCTTTATGACTACAAGTTACTTTCCAGCAACATGGCAAATACGTACGCAGTACGCATATAAATACTGCAAGTGGGACAAGCCATTACGGCACAGTAGTAACAGCTACTGAATACAGGAGGCGGCATGGGTTTTTATTCTTTCAACTTTTCTACATTTGAAATGTTTATCATAAAAAGTTGGGGGGCTGTATATTATGATCTCAATTACATTATTATGAAGCTATACATGGACATAATATCTGACCAGAAAAGTCAGTAAGATTGACGCTTTAAAATGTTCAGTATGAAGTAAAATGACCTTTACAGGGTCATTCTGTTGTCCTCCTTATAACTTTTCTGCTCCCCTGCAACCTATACTGCTTCAGAACACCGGGGGGATTACGAAGCGAGGCTGCTGCCACCCAGAGAACCTGAAGCCCCCAGGGGGCGAGAGGAAGACCAGAGGATTTCCTAAGACTCTGGCTCAAGGTCCGGCCTATTTCCGACTCTAGGGTCTCAAGACACTTTCCCCACCCAGCTTATCAGGACCCTCCTACCAAGGAAAGCAGTGGAGATGGGACTGACATTAGATCAAAAAGGACAGTGGGACCTGTACAGAAAGCTGGTAAGGCCCTGGACCTTCCCACCCAGCCTGTGGCATGAGGAAGGACAGGACAGGACAGAGGAGGAAAGGGTCTGGCAGCCGTCAGGAGTGACAGGGGGCCTGGTCACGGACAGAGGCTCGTCAGCGCTAATCTTACTGGACCTCTGGGCTCCAGGCAGCACAGGGGACAACCACTACCTGCGCTCCAACAACACCCTTCCGGTTCCCCACATCCCCACCTACTCCCCTGTCTCCTTCACAGGCTCCTCTTCCTCCTCTGTCCTCCCAACCCCAGCCTCTGCTCACTGCCCTCGGTACCTCTCCCTGAGGGGCCAGCTCTGCACAACCCCAAGTCTACACCCTCCAGACACTGATTGGAGGTGTCCAAACCCAACCCCAGCTAGAAACCAGGGAAGCACTCAACTCCTGCCTCTCCCCTCCTACCACCTTCACAGCTCCACACCCAATTGCCAAATCCAGCTGACTTTATCCCCACATCTTCATTACATCCCCTTCCCCATGCCTACTTCCTCCGTCCCCTTCAGACCCTCAGACCTCACAGAGACCACGACAGGAGCCCATCTGCTCCTCTCAAAGCCATTCTCAAGATGCAAACACTCGGAGCAATCTTTCTCCTGTAAATTTGACCATGTCACTCTTCTGCTTAAAATGCTTCAAACAAATCAGGTATCAAATGAAACCCTGCCCTCTTTATGGACTATCTGGAGGAAGAGCTAAGCCAAAGGCCCACCCTCGGCCCTCAGCGTGGCCTCCGGATGAGTTGTGAGACCAAGTGCTAGTGCGGCGAGCTGCTTTCCTCCTGGTGAAGAGAGAAGACAACACTTACCATCATCACTGCCGCAATCCTGCAACACAAGCGGATGGTGGCGGGGGAGCTTGCTCAAGGGCTGACGCCGGCCTTTGGACTTCTTATTCTCCTCCAGGGAAAACATGTATTCATTCGCAACCTGGGCAAACCACAGAAGACATCAAATTGGTCTTGTCTCCACTTGGGGACACAGCAAAAGTTAGTCTTACAATGAAAGCCAAGGGAAAGATCAGGCACAGAGAAACACAAAAATAGAAAACCAAACAGAAAACACCTGTTTTAGAAAAACAAAATGACAGTGCCTTGATGCAAACTAGTCTAAACTAGGATTATGTGAACACTTTGCAGCAACATTTGTATCTCGTAAGTGTGGGTCCTGGCAGCCCGAAACCAATGTACCAAAAAGAAACCTACTCCAGCTCTAAAGGAGAGTATGCCCCCCGCCCCGCTCCCAAGCTCACTGCCATAAGCCCCAGAGAAAGCCAGGTACCCCTCTCCTTGGACCGAAGGCCAGCAGGCACCTGTTACAAAGTGCCAGGCAGCTGACCACCTAGGTTTGAAAGGCTAGAGGACATTTAAAAGGGTGAGGAGCAGCTGACCCAGTAAAGGAAAAATAGGCCTGTCATGAAGTGCACTGTCGAGACCTCAGCTCTAGCTAACGCCACTCATTCCTATTTCTCCAGAGGAGAGAACATCAGCCAGGACAGAGAGCACATCTTAAATTCTGGCCTAGCTGCAAAGGGGAAGGTGGATTTAACGCTGCATTGACATAAAGTCAGAGCAAATGTGATGAGGTTTAAGACGTATAGGATTGAGTCAGTAATACGACATAGAGTTTCTTTCTCATCCACATGTTTATAAAACTTGGTTATGCTGACATTGGGAGACACGGGGTTAAGCAAAACCTATTAAGCAAGGGAATAAAATGAGGCCTGGAAGAGGGCCACCTTGCAACTGTGGGGAACACCCGAGTGCGGCGGAGACGCAACAGCACTGCAGGGCCACCGCGGAGTGCCTGGGCCTGCAGACGCCCCTGTGACCGCACAGAACCCCAGGACTTAAGAACCGCACTTGGAATGTCAGGAAAAACTCTGAGCAGGCCACATCCAAACAGAACAGAGCCTGCTCTCCCAAACATACATGTAACCAACAAGTTTTAGACAAATATTTACAAAGAAAGGCCTGGCCGAGAAAAGAGCAAGGTGTGGGGAAATGGTCTAAGAGAACGTGACCCCTGCATGCAGGAGTGATGCCGACTCCGTGTGCAGGAATGTGCTGGAAGAGTGAGGACGTCAGGGACCTCTTAACTGATGTCCCTGTCTCAGATGATCAGACTTTTAGTCAGATCTGAACCACACTGATTAGTGCCAGTGTCTCCAAATGTACATCAAAAAGGCCCCTCAAGAGCCTCCACTGGAGTGAGCAGGCAGGGGGCAGGGCACAGGGCTGCAGGCCCCGCCTCCATCCCACCAGAACAACCCTGCTTTTGATTCACATTTTATGAATTCACTTCATAAAATGATTAAGATCTCACTTAGCCAAAGGATCCTTTGGCTAAAACAAACAGGAAAACCCATACTCAAATTTGATAGTGCTATCATAAAAATAAAAAATTTAGGAACACGCACCCCAACATATGTATATTCACTAATGAATTATATACACTAAGGTACTTAGACACATTTTAAAACAAAAATAGACTGTAAAAGAATTTTTTAAGTTCCATTCTTATTCCTGCACCCCAGTAATCTTCCTGCATTCCCCACTTTGAAAACCATCTAGACAACAGGCCTAAACTGGGAAGTGCAGAGACTAGAAGTAAAGGAGTAAGAAAAAGGAACCAGAGGTGGTGGGGATTCCTAGCCTGAGTCACCAAGGGGGAAACTTGCGAGAACTCACGGGGATGGAGAGGGAGTGGCACATGCTGCATGGGGTTCACACAGCCTGTAGCTGTGGCCCTTCATTTGGCAACAGAGACTTAATAAAAGAATTGAGACGGGTTCAGAAACGAGGTCAGAGTAAGAGCTATGGATCTGGGAATCCTCAGCATCTAATTAGCAACCTTAACAATCCTTTGTCATGTTAACACATTCATAGAGATTATGGGAGTGGAGAAGATTATCACTAGGAGATAAATTGATGGAAGACCAAGCCTACCAGGCCAGGAAGGAAGAAAAGAAAGATGTGGCAGTAGGTGGGTAAGAGGAACACAAAACAAGGAGGGTGGGCTGCCAGCAGGGAAAATCCGCAGGGACAAAGAATACAGAACTACTGAGCAGGAAGTGGCCAATGGCCTGGGAGGGGGAGGAGAGGACGTTTTTTGAGAGATAAATTCCAGCAGAAAGAGTAAGGAATGAAGGAGTAAATACATCACAGAGGCTATTTTGGAGGATCAAGGGAAGGAATATCATAGTTTGGGAAGGAAATTTCCTCCAATCATATTTTAGGATAAGGGCTATGTGAGTACGGTCTATAGGCAGAGAGCAAAGAAGTTTGTGAGAGAAGAGGTATCAGGAACGATCCCCCGCCCCAAATGGCCAGTCCTAATCCTCGAGAATGTGTTAACATGACAAAGGATAGTTGAGGTTGCTAATTAGATGACCTGAAAGTAGTGAGATAATCCTGGATTACCCAGGCGGGCCCAACACATCAGACCACACTTAACAATGAAGTCAGTGAAGTGATGGAGAAACCTGGCCGGATGCTGCTGCCTTTGAAGGTGGAAGAGGGCGCAGGCCAGGCAAGGACCCCGCTCTGCTGAGAGCCGGCAGGAGGGCCAGGCCACAGCCCTGCGGACACCTTGACTTTGCACAGTGAGGCCCATTTCAGACTTCTGAACTGCACAACTAGAAGATGATAAATTTGTGTTTTACGACTTTAAGTTTGTGGTTAACTTGTTAAAGCAGCAACAGGAAACAAATAAGGGGTGGGAGGTGAAGACAGATCCCTCCATAGGTCCAAGGACTGGAAGTGGAGGGGCCGCGACTGAGAGCCCCCGAGTGCAGCTCTGGGAGAGGAGGACGCCTTTATTCACGTCGCTTCGGGGCCTCCTACACACCCAGCACCTCCGTACCCAGGACGCACACTGGGTGATGTGGCGATGCAGAGACAGAGGAGACGTCATCTCCTACCTCCAGGAGCTTAGGACCCAGCCGGAGGGCGGCCTGGTGCGCCAGCCTCAAGTCTGTGCCCTTCCCCCGACCATCAAGCTGCCTCTGAATAAAGCAGTCGGGTCTATTCAAATTCGAAGATCATCTCCGGGTTAAATGCTCCGGCTGCCTCAGGGCATCCACACCCTTCCTCACAGGGTGACCTCTGGGGCAATGTGCTGGGACTTCTCAACTCCCTCAGCAGCCCAGAAACCCCAATTTAACCAACTGGCGGAGTGAGCTCAGGCAAGCAGCAACCCACTGGTAACATGGGGGTCAGGAGTGCCGCCCCACAGGGCTCTGTGTGAGGATGGAGCGGGGAGCATGTAGGGTCTGCCAGGCCCCTGCCCCCTGAGAGCTGGAGCTCAAGCCCCCCTCCCCCCTCCAGTCCTCTGTGCCTCCTTCTCACATTGGGCACCCTCGGCCAATGTCAATGTTCCTTACAGGAGGGACCAGTTGTTCTCTCCTTGCTTGGGGAACACTAGCGAGAACTTTCAGAGCCAACACACTGCGGTGGCAAGTGTGCTCGTAAATGAATCCCTAAGGCTTTGGTGCTCCGGCAGTCAGTCACCAAGGCGCTTTTACCAGGGCCCCTGACATAAGACGTGGCACACAAGCTGATTACCAAGAGGCCCAAATTATACCTTGGGGGTGGCTAAAGGAGGGGGTACACAAGGGTGCTCTTAGAAACCCAGCCGTTTCCAAATATAGATACAATGTTATCAGAACTCTCTAGGCACAGGCCAAGTGACTCAGCTCCTGCCCCTAGCTTGACTGTCGGCCCCCATTCCACCCTATCAATTAATGTGAATGGCAGCGCCTCACTAAAACGAATCCCCCATTCCTTCCAAGCTTACGGAAGGCTCATGGGCCAAGCCCTCAAGAAGCAAAGCTGAATGTGGCACAGGGCCTGGCTCCTGGAAGCTTCTCTTCCTCACCAACCTACGATAACTGTACTGAGACCAAGACGGTCAGAAAAAAGAAGTCAAGGGTGACAGGGATCCAAAGGAGAAAGGAAGGGAAGTGATGGGAGGCCACGAAAGGTTTCTGAGAGCAGAGGCTTCTGCAAAGGGCTGGGCCCCCGTGAGCAGAGGAAGGTGTCTGACTGTTCAGGAGACCCGTGGAGACAACTCCCTGTCCCTCCCACCTCGAGGCCATCTGCAGCCTGGTGATAGCTGCACAGCACAGTGAATGCAGGTACGGCCACTGAACTGTGCACTAAAATCTGGTTAAAATGAAAAGATTTTGTGTCATGTACACAGTATTTTATCACAATTAAAAACCAAATTAACCCAACCTCAGCCACCCCCTCCTGTCTCCACCTGTGCTGGAGGCCCCACTCCCTCCCTCCTGCTCAGACCTGAAGATCAGGTCCCTCCCCTGGCCTTCATTACCTCCAAACCTCCCCCAGCAGTCCCCCCACCCCCAACCCCCACCCTGCTCCAGCTCCTCCTCCACCAGAGGTGAGCTTGGCCACAGCTCCCACTGTCTTCAATCTTCCTCCTCCCTTGGCTCTGGACACACACTCCTAGGTCTCTCCTAGTTCTTCAAAACCTCTGGCTGTTCTTCACATTCCCCTTCTTCTGCCTGGGCCTCTAGCTCCACCCACACTGTGAAAATTGGCCCTCCCGTTTCACACAAGAGCTCTTCCATGCCCACTGATACCCACTCGGTGACTCCCAAACCTGAGGACCCCTCCTTAGCTTCAGATCGGTGTGTACACACCTCCACAGCCTGCCTCACAAGCAGGTCACACTCCACATGGCGCAGACTGAAGTCCCCTCCTGAGTCACACCCATGGATCCCTTCACTTTCCACTGATGCTCCCCCTCCATCCAGTAACTCAGGCCAGAATCCCAGTCAAGCCCAGTCTGCCCTCTTCCTCAGCCAGCGCCCAGTCCTGTGTTCTTCCCTTCTGAGCAGCTCCGGGCCACCGCCTACCCCATCCCTTCCTCCACCCCACAGCTCAGGTCCTCACTGTCCTGCTTTCAAGAACGGACTCCAAATGGGTTTCCCTATTGCAAGCCCTTTCCCTCCTTTCCTGAAGAAGTATTCGATTATAAAAATAACACGTTAATCACAAAAATATTTGAGCAATGCATAAATGTAGGAAGTGAAAATAATCCATAACTCCACCTTCAAGAGAACCCTCTGCTGTTTCTAATTTTGACTCATTCCCCCCGTCCCCCACACCGCCTCAAAAACCTTTATACTGATTCCAAAATGAACTTCTGAAATATCAGTAAAGAGCTTTAAAACCCCTCCACTGGACAATCTAAAGAATTAGCATGGTCTCGAGTAAGTCAATGGTAGTAAAAAGGGAGGGGAACACTTTGCTAGAATAACATAGACTTAAGAGACATAATAAACAAATGTAAAGTGTAAGACTAGATTAAACCTTCACTCAAACAAACCTACCATAAAATAAATGTTTAAACAATTGGGAAAATTTAATTATGGAGTGGGTATTAGATGATGCTAAAGAACTTTTATAATATTGTTGGATGTAATAATGGCATAGGGATTAAGAAAATATCCATATTTTGGCCCTAGCTGGTTTGGATCAGTGGATAGAGTATTAGCCCTCAAACTAAAGGGTCCCGGGTTCAATTCTGATCAAGGGCACGTAGCTCAGTTGCAGGCTCAATCTCCGCCCCAGTCGAGATGCATGCGGGAGGTAACCAATCGATGTGTTTCTCTAACATCGATGTTTCTCTCTCTTTCTCCCTCCCTTCTACTCTCTCTGAAAATCAATGGAAAAATATCCTCGGGTGAGGATTAACAAATAAAAATCCTATATAATAAAAGGCTAATATGTAAATCAACCAAATGGCAGAAAGACCGGTTGCTATGACACACACTGACCACCAGGGGGCAGGCACTCAATGCAGGAGCTGCCCCTGGGTGGTCAGCGCACTCCCAAAGGGGGAACGCTGCTCAGCCAGAAGCCAGGCTCATGGCTGGCAAGCGCAGCGGCAGTGGCGGGAGCCTCTCCCACCCCCGTGGCAGTGCTAAGGATGTCCAACTGACAGGAGCGGGCCTAAGCCGGCAATCGGACATCCTCCAAGGGCTCCTGGACTATGAGAGGGTGCAGGCCGGGCTGAGGGGCACACCCCCCCCCCAGTGCACGAATTTCATGCACCAGGTCTCTAGTAAATAAATACATAAACAAACAAATAAATAAATAAAAATAAAATATTCATTTTTTAGAGATACACACTGAAGTAGAGGGAAATGACATATCTCGGATTTTCTTTAAAATACTTCAGCAAATAAAAAAAAAATAGATGAAGCAACTGTGACAAGATATTGAGAACTGTCAAACCTAGGTGATGAGAATTTGTGGGTTCACTATATTATTCTGTACACATCTTTGTGCATTTAAAAAATGTACTATGGAGCCCAGCTGGCGTGGCTCAGTGGTTGAGCGTCGACCTATGAACCAGGTCACAGTTCGATTCCCGGTCAGGGCACATGCCTGGGTTGTGGGCTCAATCCCCAGTGGGGGGCATGCAGGAGGCAGCTGATCAATGATTCCCTGTCATCACTGATGTTTCTCTCTCTCTCCCTTCCTCTCTGAAATCAATAAAAATATATTTTTAAAATGTACTATGGGAATCTTCAATCTCTAAAACACATGGCGGAAAACCTCCCACTGCTCCCCACACCAAAACTCTGAGGTCAGATTGCTTCTCACAGCAGAACCTCCCTGACCTGGGTCCTGACTCACCCTCCACCAACACCTCCCTGGCCTCTCCAGCCCCATATGCCTGAGGCAAATGGAACCACTTAGGCCTCCCCACCACGTGCTCTGACCTTGGCATGAACTACCACCACCACAGAGGATGCTCTCCTCTCCGACTCCCCCTCCAGTTTCCTTCTACCCACCTGGCATACTCCTGTGCCTCAGGCCTAGAACGCTTCCTTCTCTGCAGTGTCCCTGAACACCTCATCCCAACCCCAGGCAGGCTGTTAACTCCTCTGCCTGTGCCACATCATGGATCACTAAGTATCAGAATCATTTGCTCCCATCTGTCCACTCATCTAGACTGTGAGCTCCTTGAAGGCACTGTCCTAGCCCAGAGTAGGCACGCCGTAACGACGACAGAGTAAAGCGAAGAGGTAGGCAGCCAAGGTATTTTTAGAGAAGTTGAAGTAGTTCAAAGATTCTAGCACATCAAGGGGAGGCAGAGGAGAGATGGCTGGTGTGGAGTGAAGGGTGTCACCATCACACAACAGCTAAGTCGATACAGAAATAAAAGGAGCCCTAGCCGGTTTGGGTCAGTGGATAGAGCATCGACCTGCAGACTGAAGGGTCCCGAGTTCGATTCCAGTCAGGGGCACATGCCCGGGTTGCGGGCTTGATCCCCAGTAGGGGGCATGCAGAAGGCAGCCGATCGATGATTCTCTCTCATCATTGATGTTTCTCTCTCTCTCTCCCTCTCCCTTCCTCTCTGAAAGCAATAAAAATGTATTAAAAAATAAAATAAAAAGGAGCCAGGAAGGCACTCGATGGTGTCTGAGCAGGAATCCAACAAGAGAGGCATGCTGGACAGTGGCCTCCTTCCCCGGCATATTCCTCAGGGAGGCCCCGGCTCTCCTCCCAGCTCTGGGATGTTAGTGAGCATCACTTAGCTGGGACCTGCCTTTGGCAGGAGTGCGTCCTGATCTGCGTCCACGACACATGGGAGACGAGTGGAGAACACTCTGCAGGACGAGAGGGCCTGCGTCCTCCAGGACTGCCTGTGACGAGGTAGGTCATCTGTCTCACCGAGGGCAAATGAGCAGCAGGGCCACCTGGCCACGGGTTAAAATCCACTTCCTTCAATCATTATAACTGGTAATAAAGTGACACTCTGAGCTCCAAATGCCACACTCCTATATCCATTACTTAACTGGTTCGTAATTTGGGAGGAAAAAGATAGTGTTGCCCTGGCCAGGTAGCTCAGTTGGTTAGAGGACTGTCCCGAGACACCCAGGTTGTGGGTTCGATCCCTGGTCAAGGGCACATACAAGTCAACCAATGAATGCATGAATGGGTGGAACAACAAATAGACGTTTCTCTCTCTTTCAAAATCAATAAATAAAAATTTTTAAAAAGATGGGTGTTATTTATTGGCTCCCCCCTGTGGTTAGATTAAGCAGTAATACATAGTCTAAGCCAGCGGTCGCCAACCTTTCAAACCTCACAGGTCACTGGTTGGCGACCGCTGTGCCGAAGGTTTCCTTAAACCAGCAGTCGCGACCGCTAGCCTAAGCAATGCATAGGAAGTATCCGCATACAGTAAGTCCTTGCTATTGTTAACTGCTTTTGTGGTTGTGATTCCAACTGGAGGCAAGGAAGTCAAGACGACACTGCGAGAGAGGAACAGCGCGACCTGTGGTGTGACAGCAGGATGAAGAAGAGGGCATGGAGCTTGGTGAAGGAAGAATACGGATGCGGTAACAGGAATGTGAGGGATTCCAGCTTCTAAGCTGAGAAGCCCTCTTGTGCGGGAGCTGCCGTACAGAGACAGAGAGCAGCAATCAGAGGCCATGAGGAGGAGGTGAGGGGCATGGGCTCAGGAGCCTGCACCCACTGCGAGGAGGAGGGAGGGGGCACCTGGAAAAAGTCTACAGACACTGAACCCCGAGGTTCAGAGACAGCAGAAAGAAAATTACACGCATATTAAAGGCAGGGGGCAAACCAACCACAAAAGGGCACCAGAGGGATTTTCATATGGACTGTTGGTACTTCAGCCAAAGAGATAAAGCCAAGAGGCCGAATGTTTATGTGTGGGCAATGAATATACATAGGGGGCTTGTGATGGTATCCGAGCTGAATATACTTTAGAAATGTTTCATAATCACAACTTTTAAAAGATAAATTCTCGAAGGTAAGGTGAGGGGATGGGGAATAAAGAAGACCTTCTGCACACCCGCCTCACCCACGGCTGCAACTGGACCCACAGAAGCTATGAGGCTGGGGAGGAAGAGCAGGTCACTTGGGTAGGTGTGAGCCTGGCCGCATCCAGCCCAGCTCTGCTCCGTCCCACTCAGACCCAGCAAGCGTGTTCCAGGAGGAAGCCTGGACAAACGTCCACGTGGATGGCTTTGGGGATTCATCCCAGTCTCCACAAGGATACTCTACCAACAAGGTAATTCTGGGAGATGAAGAATCACGTGGGGGGGGGGGGGGGGAGTGGAGGGAGAATTCTCATGGGAGTCTACAGGGAAGTCACGATTTTTAAGGGGAAAAAACGAATTTTAGAACAAGAAAGGCCATCTCATTCCCAACCCTCAAATATTTGGGCTGCAATCACTACCACTCTAAAACCCTGTGCCTCTAAGGCAAGGAGGGTCAGAGGATGCACCCAACTGATCCGCCTCTGTCCGGGAGGCTGCTGTGTCACACAGAGATAAGAGAAAGGAACTCCTTCCTGGAAGTGAGCCAGTGCCACCTGGCTTTCTACTCCACACCACGGCAGACTGGAGGTCCACCCTACGGTTACTCCTGCATCCTGGGCACCGCTGCACCCCACCCACAGGGTCCCTTCCAGGCAGCCTACCTCCGCCAGCTCCCGCTCGCTGATACTCCTGCTGGCGCTCCTTTTCTTCCGCGTGCACGGCTCTCCCGCAGCGACCCTGCCGTCCCCTCTGGCATAGCTGTGCACGGTGAGGACTCCCGTCTGCCCTGGGCCTGGGCAGGACAGGGGCTCACTGGTTTCTGAATCGGAAGAAACAGAATCCTGTGATGAACTGGAGCCCAGGCTGGAAGATGATTTCTTTTTGGAGGCTGAGAAGACAAGGCGTCCCCCTATAGAGGCAGGATTCACAGAAAGATCCAAGGCAGCAGCTGCTTCCTCCTCCTCTTCCTCCGCCTCCTCCTCCTCCTCCTCCTCTTCGAGTTTGACGTTTTTCAGCTCTTCAAATTTGACTTCAGTCGAGTCAGAATAATCTGCAACACACATACACATTGGACAGAGCCAACTTCCTCCCGCACGTCTGAACCTCGAGAAAGGCAGTGACAAAGCACAAAGAACAGGGGCAGGGTGAGGCCCGGCCTTGAATCCCGGCTGTCACCCACAGGTCACTGTGTGATGGGCGGCTGCTGATCCTCTCTGGGACTCCAGTTCCACCCTCTCTAATGCAAGGTACCACCAGGGCTCTGCGTAAGATGGAGCACAGCCTGGCACACATGGCAGACGCTCATTAAGTGACAGCTGCCATGTCCTCAGAAGTCTGGCAGGAAATGAAGGCCGAGCACAGGAGAGACCTAGCACCCCAGGCTGGACAACCTGAACGAAGGTAGCCCAGACCCAGGTCGAGTCCATAGAGCTGTCTGGCTTTCAGCAGAGGTACCGACAAGGTGTTGTCAAGCCTGACTGGACACTGATACAGCCTGTGCCCAACAAATCTACCCTCACAACCATCCGCCCGAGGGACTGCTCTAGAACAGCGGTGGGCAACCGGAGGTCCGCGGACCACTGGCGGTCCATGAGGTCCGAAAGGTTGGCGACCGCTGCTCTAGAACACTGTGACCATACCACTCCCCCCTGAAATACAACTGGCTCCCGGGCCTCCGTGTGAGCCAAGCTAAGATGACAGGCAGTCCCTACATCCTCTCGCTTCTATATCTATAGCTCATTTCCTGGTAACACACCTGTCTTCCGCCCCCATATTCAAATGGCAGGAAATCACTACCAGCCCCACAAACAGCTCTGTCCTTTCACAGCTTCATGCCTTGGCCCCCGCTGTGCCTCTCGAGGATGCCCTTTGTATGTCACCAGTGCTGCCTGGAAAATTCCTACTGATCTTCTCCCCTTCGGTTCATCGTCACTTCACCAAAACCTTCAGTGTCTCCTGGACCCCTCACCAGGCAAAAGGAGGGGTGGGGGCTTTCCCCTACGTTCCGCACCTGCCCTGTGTGTTCCCAACCAAAGTGCTCCTCACACCCGGGCCTGTCTCTCCCCTTTTTCTCATTGGTGACCCAGCACTAACATGGCACCCAACAGAGAACAGAACAGTCAGGGTGGGGGAGAATACCGTAACCAGCTGACCTGGGAAGGGGAGGCCATCCTCGACCTGCCGCACGGAGCTGTGGGTGGGCCTCACGGGGGCGAGCGCGGCCTGGCACGCCGTCAGGTCGTACTGGCCGGAACTCAGCTCCTCCTTGGGGAAGAGCTCGCTCTGACTGACCTCCTGCGGAATTTCGAGACAAACTCGGTGCCTCTTTGTCCCTATGCGGTGCTTGGCGAGGCTGCAAGGAGGAGAGTGAGCTGTGTAAGGGCCCATGTATATATCCACTTACACAAACACATCCACACACAACCCCAAAACCAGTGCCCAGAGCCTACAGTCCCCCATTTGTGGGACCTGAGCGCGTCCCATCAAATGGAAAACAGGGATATCACCACCCACCACGAGGCTTAAGAAAAGGCAAGCAGAGTACCCGAAAGCACCTGGTGTAAAGCAGGAGCCCGTCAAAGTCCCTCCTTCCTTCCCCACGGGGCCTAGGATAAACGAGCCTTAGGAGAGAGATCCTCTGGCTCAAACACTGACAAGGCCAGGAATCTCATTTCCACTACCACACGCTCTTTTTTCTTTCTTTCTTTCTTTCTTTTTTTTTAATATGAACCGCTTCACAAATTGGTATGTCGTCCTTGTGCAGGGGACATGCTAATTAATCTTCCCGTAGCGAGCACCACACTCTCCTTTTTTTTTTTTTTTTAATTATTAGTTAAGGTATTACAAATGTGTCCTCATCCCCCCCATTAACCCCCAACCTCCCCCCCACACACACTCATGCTCCCATCCCCCTGTTGTCCATGTCCATTGGTATGGCTTATATACATGTATACAAGTCCTTCGGTTGATCTCTTCCCCTTACCCCCGCCCTCCCCTACTTTCCTTCTGGGGATTGATAGCCTGATTGCTGTTTCTCAGTCTTTGAGTCTGTCCCTTTTCATCAGTCTATGTAGTTCTCTATAATCCACAAATGAGTGAGATCATGTGGTATTTATCTTTCTCTGACTGGCTTATTTCACTTAGCATAATGCTCACACTCTCCTTCTTTAAAAAGCTCTCACGCCCGGCCAGTGTGGCTCAGGGGTTGAGCATCGACCTATCAACCAGGAGGTCAGGGTTCGATTCCCGGTCAGGGCACATGCCCGGGTGGCAGGCCCAATCCCCAATAGGGGTCATGCAGGAAGCAGGCAATCAATGATGCTCTCTCACTGATGTTTCTCTCTCTCTCTCTCCTTCTCCCTTCCTCTCTGAAATCAATAAAAATATTTTTTTAAAAAAGCTCTCATGATGAAGATGAGAAATTGTGACTTTTCTGGCCCAGAGGGAGCGGTACCCTGGCACATGTGTGCCCCTCGCTCCAGCAGACCACGGGCGCACCACCATGCCATCGCTCCTGGTAACAGCCACCGGGGGCCTAAATGCCCTCACTCTGAGGACTCTGGAGCCCGTACCAAAAAGGAAACTCCCTCATCTGTGGCTCAAACGCCTCACTTAGTAACAGCCTCTCAGTAGCTGCCTCCACGTGCCTCCTCAGACAGCTGGGCCCCGAGGGCTGCCGCCTTACCTTCTCTTCAGGTGGCCGTCCTCGCCGTCCTCGACTCCCTCCATGTCCTCCTCTGGGCACTCCTCCTCACTCGCGGCCCTTGGAGGCAGTTCACTCTCCTTAAGAAACTCAGCGGCTTCTGGCGTGGGCAGCGTGTGGTCGATAACTGTGCTGTCCTTCCCAGCTTTCCAAAGTTTGTACCTTTCTGGCTGGAACTTCCTCACAAACACGTCCATGGAGATCTTCACCATATCCTTCCTACAGGAGCACTGCCACGAGTAACCAGACGAGCCCCAGGTGAGCACACTTCACCTGCTCCCACCTGACCCCATATCCCATCTCCTCCCCTCAGGTGGACAAAGGTCCAAGAAGCTTAAAGCCAAACCATTTTGGGTTCAGAGGCTGAAGGCATATTGTCCTTGCAGAGCTTCAGACAGGGAGGGAAGCAGGGGAGAAGGGCGGAGAATGCATGGCGCTGGGCAGTCCGCCCAGGCACTACAAGGATGCGTGAGAACCGATCGATAGGAAACTCGGCACTCAGACCCCAGATGGTCAACAGCCACCTTCGCGTTGGTATCTATCCAAGGCCAGGACCACACGAGCAAGGCTACTCCCAATCAAAGGTCCAGCCCTCTGCTTCCCTCAAGTAAAAGTAAACCCCTCAGAACTTCTCAACAGAGAAATCCCCGAGTGGCTAAAGCCCGAGTATCAATGTGTGTGGGTGTGGTCTGAATGCCCAATGGACTTACACACGAAAACCTCACTTTATACGTCCCGAATCTGAACAAATTTTTAACGAACGCAAGATGTTGGGCACTTTTGCACATTCCCAGGCACTTGGTTTCTGAACTGCAGAAGATCAAAGAGACGTTCTAACCAGCAGCCAGTGCACCTAACAAGAACCAGACATGTTGAGGCAGAGGGACAGAGAGGCCAAGCACTCACCAGCACTGCCTGTTTGCCATACTCAATCCACCGCCGCGTAGCAAAATTGGTAGACTCTGCACAGTTGAAGCCGTGGTTGAAGCCGGCGTGGTAGCCATAAGGAAATGTGATCATGAACTCTCCAGCTTCCTGAGTGACCTGCGCAAGAGCAGAGTTGAAGCAGCTGCATCCAACTGCAGGAGTGGTGTGGGTGGCGAAGGACTGGTGAGGGGGGCGCTATGGGCTCTCACCCCTGCCCTTCCCGGCACGGGATGGTTTCGCCTCCTCCTGGCACCTCCCCACTTCCGCCCGTCTCCAGAGCAACGCACCAGCTAATATGCACCAGCTAATATGCACCAGCTAATATGCTAATGACCTAGTCGTTACCCTTACAGCGGATCGACCATCAGCATATTAGCTCTTTATTAATATAGATTAGAATGCCACGACTATAATAACCATTCTTCCAAAGGAACTCTGTTCACGGGGATTTGACTCCCATCTGGTCCCGGGAAGGTCTAGCAGCCCCACCTTTAATACCCTGATGCCAAAGTGTTGTTATATATGTCAGCTTTGGCCCACACCTGGCACAGGGTAATGAACGAGAATAAAGCTCCTCTCTGTGAAACACAGACCAGAAAGGGCGGTTTCCGTGTGAGGCTAAGGATTTCCATATGTAAAGTCAGCTCACCTTGTCAAAGGGAATTCCGTATTTCTTCAGCATTAAAGGGGAAATCAAGGTCATCTTATGGCGGAGAAAAGCCTCACAGCTTTGAGCACTTCCTGGGAAAAAGCCTGTTTAATTGAAAATAGGCACACGTGAACGGTGCTCCACACTCGCTCTGTAACCCTAGCATCCTACCCCTGTGCATCCCGCCTGGACAATACGGGGATAAATCACCAAGGTGATCTCTATGGATCCTTCAGCCCCAGCCCAGCTCCAAGATTCCACAGTGAACCTCTGGGCTCTCGCGGGTAGGCCGCCCGTGGGTAATCAGATTCTGTTTGGGGACGTGAGATGACCCAGCAGCCCGTTTTCTGATAAACAGCTTTGACACGCTTTCAGACCTTCCTCCATGCAGCTGCATCCTCAGTCTTTGTTAGTAACATGTCTACTACAGAACAGACTACCCAGCTCTCCTGAAATGGGCTCTCTGGAGGAATCATCTATCAAAGGCCACTTTAAGGAGTCAACGCATTAAATAATTCCATCCTGACTTGAACATTTGGGTTTCTGGCAGAAGAGTCAGACCCAATATGACAGGTATACTATCTCCGGTCAAATGAATCCGTGCTCGATAAAACCAAGGCAAAGACCGTCTAAGAAGGAATTGCCGAGTCCCTTCCCAGGACAAAGTGCGGAAAGGCTCTGTTTTTAGTTGCTCCATTCGGATAACTAGCCTGGCAGTCTGGCTTACCCCCCACCTGCAGGCCTGAGAAGGGACACGAGAGAATCTGACCACAGAGAATGGACGCATTAGAGCAATGAGCACAGCGCACAGGAGGGTGTGAGCCCGCTGTGGAGGAGACACAGTACCTTTGGCGAGGCGCTCCAACCGCTTCCCGTGCTCAGGGGGAACAGAGTACCTGCAATCACATAAAGGCATTGGACGCTGAGCAGAGGACAGGACGGGAGCGGAAGGGGCTGGTTCCCACTCTCAAAACAGCTCAAGCTATCAGGTTTTTCAACCTCCCAACTACAAAAACGAGAAAGGAAACCTGGAGAAATGAAATATTAGACTGTTTGGGCAGAGCAGCGGGGAGCCCAGAGAGAAGTGTCAGTGAATTCCTCTTTTCTATTCATTAATGAGACATTGCTGTTTACTGTGAGCCAGGATTTAGGTATGCACTCAGTGTCGCTCTCTATGATGTCCTAAATGACATGAAATGAAATGCAATGGAATGAAATGAAAATGAAAATGAAATGGGAGAAGGATGGCATTAAAGTGCCCCAGGCAGACCTGATGGCCGAACAGTGACAGGATAAAGAATAAAAAACAAGGCAAAATGGATTAGACCTGGCCCCATATCTGCTGTTGAACCCATCTCCCCTTGTCCCCAGATATACTGATCACCCAGTAGTTACTCCTCCACCCAGACACCATAGAAACTGCTCTTCATAAAAAAAGGCCAAAAAACCAGGTAAGACTATTCAAAACTTTCGCTAAACTGCTAAACTTTACAGTCTGAAAAGCACAGAAAGTCTATTCTAACCTTTATAAGCAAGTCTAAAGATTATTCCACAACAAACACTTCCCATCCCAAAAGCTTCATTATGAAACAAAACAGATGCGGATGTTTGTCACTGGAAGCACTGTGGGCAACCGTGCAAGCCCAACTCTGGAGGTCCCCCTGATGGCCTGAAGAGTGCATGTATAACCAGAAAACCTGTTCTTGACACGGCAACAGAAATCCATTCTCAGGGAACTTTGGCGTAAACGTGGTGAAGACACAAAAGCTACACTGACAGAGTCTCCAAGTCTAGCCAACTAAGGAAGGTCATGGGACAGTAGGTCAAAAAATTTTGCCAAAATTATTTGAAAGAAGGAAGGAAAACCCCTGGGAAGGGATGTGACTTTAGATGCTGGAAAAGGGCAGGAAGATGGATCCAGTGCCCATGACTCCTCATGGCCAGGCCCATGCTGTTCCTCTGGCTTCCTCACTCACTTCAATCATAGTACCTGGCACCCAAACCACTATGATCTTCCCCTAGTTCACTAAAGACATCACGCTGTCTCTCAACTCAGGATCTTTGCCCAGGTTTTCCAACCACTGAGACACACTTCCCGCAGCCTCCCTTCTCCTGAACCCACCATCGTCCCAACCAGCTACTCAGCTACGTCTTTCTCATTTGCTAGGTCTCAGCTTCATTGTCACCTCCTTCAGGGACACCCTCTCTGATCGCCACCCCTCATGTGCCCTCTCCACATGGACCTACAGCATCCACCGTCTCCCATCAGAGCTTCCCTCACACTTTGCATCTCCTGTCTGTGACGGTAGCTACCTCACCTGTCTTATTCACTGCCGTTGAATGCAGCACCTTCACTAACTGCTGAGCCAGTTAGTGATGGACCGGCAGAGGGAGAGAAGAGAGAACACATCTTTGTCTCCCCAACTAGACTAAGGACATCCTGGAGAGCAGGAAGCATATGCTGAATAGCCTTGCATCCCCTCTTGCGTTAAGCACACACTGCTGCTCACCAAATATTTTTTTCCATGAGGAAAAGGAAGTTTTCTATCATCTGCAGGCGGGGCTCTAGCCTTGGAAGTCTGCCTCTAAGAAATAACTCAGGCCTGCTCAGAAAAAGAAACCAGAAAGCGGTGGGAGAGGTGGGAATAGCCTCTGTGGCTCTCAGTCACTCAGCCAGCTCACGCTTGCACACAGTGGTACGAAGTGCCCCGCCCTCTACTGTAAAGCCTGCTACTCCAAAGGCAGTCTGAGCTCCAAAAGCATCTCAGCACTTGGAAGTCTGTTTAAAATGTAAAATGCCACTCCCACCCTAAGCCTACTGAACCCGAGCCTGCATTTTAACAAGCTCTGGAGGCGTTTTCTGGGCACAGGAGAGCTGAGGAGCCCCCTCCCTCCCGAGAAGCTCCAGCGCCAACTGCAGGCTGACTGTACCAGGACTTGGGTTCTCCGAAGTGCAGGTAATTGATGCTGTATAGGTCCATATCTTCAGTGTGCCAGGCAAAGGATGTCTTCCACATGCCAAAGTACAGGTACGGGGTGTTCACACCCTCGATGGTGATCCCACTCTCCTTTTCCACCAAGTCCAGGATGGTTTTCAGCCGGCCAATATTCCACTCATCAACATGCTGCAAAGGAAATGACAGTCCAGGGCAAGTTATCAAGATTATAAATCGAGGCTCCGAACCTACAAATCATGGAGTAGGTCCCAGGTGAGCTGTCACCTCTAACGAAGATGTGGAATAATGTCAAAACAGCATGGACATGAAGACCACAGCATCCCTCACCCACTCTTTACACCACCACTGGAAACGATGCCATTATAACCTCTGAAGGACAAATACCACTTGGTGAGCACTCGTATATGAAAGATGAATAAAGCAGTGACAGCCACATGTTCTAAACCCCAGAATAAAGAGTTTTGAACTGAAGCTAAAGAAACTTATGACAAAATAGAAACTCTTAAACCATAAAATATACAAAACATGAGCATGAACTAGATCAATCTGTGACTTTTCTAGCCCCACTTTCCACTGAGCAGTGTTCTCGGTAAAAAGTTTTACCCAGTCCTTTTCTGAGTTGTAATGGTCAGCAAGGCGCCCACCGCCCATGGCATGTTATGGATTATTATTCCCTGCTTGTGTCTCCCCATCCCAGGTCCTTACAGCATCTTCCCACAATTAATGTCCCTGCTTCACTTCCCCACCACCCAAAAAAACTCATCTATAAACTTGGAATTCACTTTTTAAACTTCTTCCTTCCAATAATTTACAAAAAAAATTGGAATTAATCTGAGTGATAATCCTTGAAATGTGCTACAAATTTTTTAAACGTCCAAAAAAACCTTCCAAACATTCCTTCCTTTTACATTCCAAGCCAGTGCAACTGGTTAAAACAGTTTTTGCTACAGAACGTTGTTTGCTGGTTCTGAAAATCTAAGTAAGTTTCACTTCTTAAATATATATTACTTTTATTATAGTCAGTGATCTTTTTTCTGCAGAAACCACACTGCTTCTCCCCCAACAATTCATCTACTGTGATCCCACCCTTTCAAGAACTCATCAGCTACCACCCACAGACTATTCTAACAGCCCTGGCAAAGAACACCACACCACCCGATTCACATGTAGAGTGGGAGAAGTAGCATTCAGTCACATGCAAAACTACCCCCAATTAAGCGAGCACGGCACATCAGCTGGTGGTGGATCATTCCCCCATCAGCAAGCAGCTTTCAGGGGCCTACTGAGCGCTGGGCAGATAAAATGTCATTCCACTACAAAACTACAAAAATGCTGCGCAGAGAGTCGCCAGAGAGCCTCACCTTTTCATAGAGAGTGCCATTCACGTCTGCGCCATAGATTGGCGGATTGAAAGTAAGATTTTTCCAGTATTTCCGTTCAAGCTCTTCAAACTCACTATAGCGTGGGGTACAGTACCTTTCAAACATAAAAGAAGTGTTAACCACTTATAAGGGACTAAATTCTTGAACAGCACAAGACACAATCTCCTATTCCAGAAACAGCAAGCTATTTCAAACGAATATGACATAACCTCAGCCTTCAAGACTCTAAGATAGTAACTCCCTCAATATCCCTTCCGTGAGCTCTGGGCCCAAGGAAGGTGATGTACATGAATATATAAGCGCATCTTCCTTAAGAAGCATGGTATCTTCAAGTCTTTGAAGAGAATCTACTAAAGCTATACACCCAGCTAGAATCAGAAGTAGCCTGGCCACCCAAGGAGAAAACAGCTGACAAATTTGTGAGATCCCAAAACTGCAAATCCCTATACAGCTGACCTGTGAACAACACAGGTTTGACCTGTGCAGGTCCACTTACATGCGGGTTATTTTTCTGTAAACATATTTTCTCTTCCTTATGATTTTGTTAACGTTTTATTTTCTCTAGCTTACTTATTATTATAGGAATACAGTATACAGCCCTGACCGGTTTGGCTCAGTGGATGGAGCGTCAGCCTGCGGACTGAAGAGTCCCAGGTTCGATTCCAGTCAAGGGCATGTACCTTGGTTGCAGGCACATCCCCAGTAGGTGGTGTGCAGGAGGCAGCTGATCAATGTTTCTCTCTCATCGATGTTTCTAACTCTCTATCCCTCTCCCTTCCTCTCTGTAAAAAATAAATAAAATATATTTTAAAAAAAAAAGAATACAGTATACAATACATACACAAAATGTGTTAATAGACTATTTATGTTACCAGTAAGACTTCCGATCAACAGTAGGCTATTTATTAGTAGTTAAGATTTGGGGGAGTCAAAAGTTATAGGCAAATTTGACTTCACAGGGTGGGGGTGGGAATGGGGAGTTGACGCCCACTCCAACATTGATCAAGGTCAACTGCATATCAACAGACAACCGAAACCCAGCAGCCTGGGAAGAGCGGAGGCCTTCCACGGCTCGCTTCCCTGGTAAGTGAAGGAAGCGGCTCCCAGAGGCTCGTGTGTACCATCACTGCCACACTTCCAGCATCCAATGCAGCAGCTAACATTCAACAAATAATCGTACTTACAAACAAAACAGTTCAAAACCCCTTAAAAATGATTACACAGCAATTTTAAAAAGAATAATATATAAACCTAAAGGGTATTTGAAAACGAACATTATAACTCGAATGGCAAAAAATATCATGAGCAGATAAAGAGTGGAAGCAGAGACCAAAATGAAATTGTGTGGAGATAATGGGATGAGTGAGGAAAAACAAATCTTACTTTAGATACTGGCTTATGTGTTAATGTCAACCTAGTGAATAATAATGTTTAGAACTCTGAAGTTCCCTTTTAAACATAAATAACTTTTCCACCTCCAACTGATCTGCTTTATAAATTTAGATTTTTTTACCCACTGCGTTCTGCTGACCATGCAGATAGAAACCAAGGGTAAGACTTTGTTGTATGTCAGATGAAAAGAAAAGACACGGGCTGGTGAACTTAAAAAGAAAGGCGGTATTGTGAGAGGAGAAAAGGCCTACCATATGTTGACAAGAAGAGAAGGCGGGCACAGGAGGCTGAGGCCCATGTGAAACAGAAAGCAGGTGTGCTGGGTGCTGCCACCCCACAGACACACCACACAGACAGAAACCAGACACAGGGTGACACAGCCTTTCGTCCACAGAGCATGTCACACTTCTTCAACACGCTTGCACATAAATTATCTCATTAGACAGCAGTTGGCCAGCACTATACTAGCAGACGTTTAAGCGTTAAGCTGTCAATAAAACTGGAAGACCATATTTAGAATCATAAGCCAACGGAAAAGAAGGCAAAGCGCAGAAATAGAAAGAGTGAGATCTGATGTGAGAGAGAGAGATGATAAAGCACATGAAGTCACGCCCCCAAAGTGTGAAGGCTGGCAAGCTTCAGATCCAGCTCTGGGCCCGTTCACAGTGAAGGCACATGTCTGACTGGCTGAAATCAGACATGCGTAGATCCGTAAGGCTCAGGAGAAAAGGGGAAAGGAAGGAATCCCTTGTGGAAACTCAAAATTATGGAGTGGCACGGGAAAGGAGAAGATCCAAGGGAAAGGATTAAGAAAGAGCAGTGAGAGCTGATGAGGAGAAGACAAAATTCATTCGCTGAGATCAAATGAGAGCTAAATGTTACAAACGGCAGAGAAAATCAACTGAAAACAGCAGGCCTCAACAAAGACAGACGTTTCTAACACAGACAAGAATGTACACATGAGGAAGAATGGAGTCAGAAAATAGCAACCAGCTTGGCAGTTCATTCACATCCTGTTAATGTCAAAGTGGAAAGAAGTCGTGGCCGGGTTGGCTCAGTGGATAGAGCGCCAAGTGAAGGGTTCCGGCTTCGATTTCAGTCAAGGGCATGTACCTTGGTTGCAGGCTCAATCCCCTGTCTTGGTCAGGGCATAGGAGGCAACCAATAGATGTGTCTCTCTCACCTCAATATTTCTCTCTCTGCCTCTCCCCCTCCCTTCCATTCTCTCTAAAAATGAGTGGGAAAATGTTGTTGGGTGAGGATTAACAACGACGACAACAAACAAACAAAAAGTGGAAAGGAGAAAGCAGTTTTATGGGTAGTGAGGATTTTGAGCATGACTAAAGACAGAAGGACCCAGAAGGAAGAGATTAAACTACTGAGACCACTTTCAGATCAGCAAGTGATTATCAATACATCTGGCAAAAGCTCCCTTTGAACCAACTCCAGCATTCTCCTTCGGAAATCTGCAACTTACGGAGTCAGAAAATGGTTCTCCTTTTGATGGAAAAACAATGGGACTACTTTATGTGAGAATATGGACAAGTTGAGACTGTGACACAGTCCTGAGAGGAGGGAATGCTTCCATTAAAAGGTCAGAAAGGGAGACAGAAGCTAGAGCTGGGACACTGGTCTTCAGCCAGACAGCAGCCGTCTTGAAGACAGCTTTGAGGAAAAGTTAAGTACTAGACGCTAGGACAGATAAAGGAAGAAACGTGTTTCCACTCACTTATCACTATTGGCTATCTTGCGGAACTCTCGAACAGTCATGGCTTTCTTCTGAATGTTGTACTGAGTGAAGAGCCCAGACTGCCCGGTCACCAGCTGCTGGATGGGAGCCGGAATGACCAGCTCATCAATGTCATCATAGGACGCTCGAGGCTTCCACTCCTTGGGAGGAACAACCTGTCGGGAACACAAGAAACAGAGACGGGTCGGAAACCTGGCGAGCTGGTCGGCGTCCCGGCAGTGTGCAGGCTGCTACCCAATGGTAACAGTCAATTTTACTAGAAAGTTACTTTGCTTTAGCCAGGCCCATCCAAATGCAGCCAGTCACACCGTCATGCTAACCCTGATCCAGTTCTGCCACCGACTAGCTGCCTGGTTGCCATGCACTAAGGCAGTGGTCGGCAAACTGCGGCTCTTTGGCCCCTTGAGTGTGGCTCTTCCACAAAATACCGACTTCTGCGCATGGGCCACGAAGTTTCAATCGCACTGTACGTGCGCGCCCGTATTTTGTGGAAGAGCCACACTTAAGGGGCCAAGAGCCGCATGTGGCTCGTGAGCCGCAGTTTGCCAACCACGGCACTAAGGTAAGTAATACTGTTTCTCAGCCTCAGTGTCTCATCTGGGCACCAAGAGAGGAGGATGAAGAGCTGATTCTCTCTCACTGAACAGTCCACACGGGAAGCCAGATCACTATGAGAGTGCTGGCTGTGAAATGAGAACAAGGGAAGTTTAACGGCACAAGCGCGCAATGACAGATAAAAGCACTCAAGCACCATCTCCACCAGAGGAGGAGGCACCCCAGCAGTGGCCCTGACACACTGGCTCTTAATGGCCCTTTCACGGATTCCAAGCAGCTCTCCCCCTACAGAAAGGAAATGCTTCAGATGCTAACGAACGGAATTAACTTGCAAAGAGGACAGCCCCCGCAGCTCATCACCCTGCCAGCCTTTCAGCAAAACTCAGTTCTTCCACCTTCCTGCTGCCCTGGCACAGAAGCCATTGCCGAACAAGCCCACCCCTCACCTTGGCCAGCCCAGCCCGATGAGCTCCTTGGGATTCGATGTAGGCAATGTATCGACTGAAGTTCCGGAACTCCTCCATAGTCGGGTAAAAGGTCATTATCCGAGCGCTGGGATTCAGGGTTTCAGATTCAGAAGCCATTTTCCCTCCTTTTTGAGGTCACGTTGGTCAGGCAGGAATCTGAAGAAATTCATAAGAGCACAAAGTTGTAATTAAAATTAAATGCTGGGACTGTCAGTGCTGAAAACAGTAAACGATAACTTAGAAATTCTGAAGAAGTATTAAGACCTCACACCTGGCCCTGGCATGTGTGCTCAGTGGTTAGAGCATGTTCCTGCGCACCAAAGAGTCTTGGGTTCGATTACCCGTCGGGGTGCAAAGGGGAGGCAACCTATTGATGTTTCTCTCTCACATCAATGGTCCTCCTCTCCTTCCCTCCCTCTCCAGAATCAATGAAGAACAACAACACATATATCCTAGGGTGAAGATCAAAAAAAAAAAAGACTTCACACCTGGAACCTGCCTCTAGATAAGTTATTTAAATGAACCAGAAATAGACAGAAAAGGCTCTGCTTAAAAGAACCTGATGCATCAACATTGCATGTACTCAAATCTTATTTAAATGGAGACATTGTTTAAACTAATAAAGGGAAGTGGTAACTATTTGATTGTTGGTCCTATCTAGCAATACAGCCACCCTGCCCATATTTCACCCTTACCTTCCAAGTCACTCCGCTCCCTTATTCTCACCTTGCTAACTGCTTTTCAGAGTATTAAATATAATCTACGATAACCAGATTTAAAAAGCAACCTATGGGCTCCCTCCTCAGGAACAGCTTTAAAATAGGATTACAGATTCCTAAGAAAAGTTACTTAGTTACAAGATTACAAAATAAAGTTTCATGTAATTAAAGTACTTTGAGCCCTGGCTGGGTAGCTCCCGTTGGCTAGAGTATCATCATCGTGATACATTTCCGGCCGGGGCACATATAAGAAGCAACCAATGAATGTATAAATAAGTGGAACAGCAAATCGATGTTTCCCTCTCACTCAAATCAATAAATAAAATTTTAAAAAGAAAAGATATACTTTTTTTTAAAAGTACTTTGATATTAGTAGCATAAGCTATGATTTTTAAAACTATATCTAAACCAAAATGCAGTTTCAGCAGCACTTAATGAAGTCAAGTAGAGACTGGTGTGATTGCACTGTACCCAGAACTCAAAGGACAGAATTTAAACAGGCAATAAACTGGCAACACAGGGCAAACTTCATAACTGACTAGAAAAGGGGAAATACTTTGTTTTTAGATGAGGCCTCCAGCTGAGTGGATACATCCCCGTTACCAGGCACTACAAAAGACTATTACAACTGAATAAAAACCAAGCATATCGGCTCAAAGGAGCCAGTTAAAAAGCAAAAGGAAATTCTAGAACTCCCCCAATCTGGGCCCCAAAGCCATGGCAGTTCAGCTCCAAGAGTGCCTTTGGGAGCTCGAGAGCTCAGAAGTGAGGAAACTGCCTCCAAGTTTCCATGGGAAGACAGCATGGAGGAGAGCTGTCTCAGGTAAGAGAGAAGACAACTCAAACCCCTCCCTCCCCACCCTTTCCCCCCCCACCCCCGCACACAAACACCTATCTCTCCGGCTTCCATTTGCGCCCCGCCAGGTGCTCTTCATGTACCTTGCCAAGCCTTTGCATGGCAGTATACTATTATCCCTGATTTACATACCAGGAAATCTGCCCCCAGTCCTGTAATGAACTCCTGGCGCTCCTTCCATTGCTCTGTGCTGCCTACATAATAATAATCTCCAGCTAGACTAAACCCATTAGAAGGGCAGACCCAATGGTAGAGGAGCCGGAAGTTTATTCAATTTTGAAGACCCTCTCTTTTAAAAAGAATACAAAACACCTTACTTTTGCAAATTTTAACAGAACATACAATCACGTGAAAACAGTGTTAAGGCCCATCCCCCGTGTGGCCCATCGCCTCTGGACTTGCTCATTTCTGTGTGCCCGGAACCTAGAACAATGCACGGCACAGAGTAGGCACTCAGAAACTTGAATAACTGATTCCCTGCCCTCGCCTCCGTTGCTCATTTCCTTTCTTCAACCCTCGGATTCCCTTCCCCCAACCTATCCCCTGGGGAAAGCTCCTGTTCCCCCAACACCTTCCTGCTCCCATCCAGCAACAAAGCCTGGTGGTTCCAGAGCACCGCTCCGGAGTCCAAGCAACTCTGACTACAAATCCGGCCTCTGCCATTTACCAGCTGTGTGCCCTGGGCTGTGTGAGCTGCCAGGGCCTCAGTTTCCCCACCGTAAGACGGGGATCCCAACCTCCTTGCTGGCAGGGTCGCTGTGATTAACTCAGATGATGCAAGCAAAATGCTAAGCACTAGGCCCGGTACTTAGCCGCTCTGTAAAGGCAGCTATTGCTAAGAACCACTTCAAACGCCCGCCCCCTCCCCACTCGGCAGCTCCCCCGGGTATCGCTCCCAAGATCCCCAAACCTCACCGTATCGAGGCCCAGCCCCTCCTAGCCCCGCCGCCCAGGCGAAGGGGGCCCGGCCGCAGGAAGAAAATACTGCCCAGTACACCCGCCCCCCTTCCCGACGACCATTGGCCATAAGAAATTGGAAAGGACCAATCCCAGGATGCATTTCAGAAGCTCCTGCTTCCATTGGGTGAGAACCGTGCCCATCACTCACTCCCCCCCCCTCCCCCACAGGATCTCACGGTCAAGGCCACAGCAGCAACAACTCGAAAAAGATTCCGAAACCTTACGGTTCTCGCCGAAAGCCCACCGGCCCGGCAGGGCTAAGACCCGGCTTCTGCTGCCGCACCAGCCGATCTCGCCGCTTCTCCTGCCTGAGAAGGACGAAGCCCCGCCTCCCCTAAAGTCGGCCTCGGCGCAGCCGCACAGCGCCCCACAAAGTGAGCCAATCCGAGGGCCACTATAAGCCTTCAAACAACCAATGAGCACGCGCTGCAAGCGCCCCAAAGTCTGGGCGTATCAATCGGCTCTGCCTATGAGCACCCGCTCGGGCTGTTGCCAGGAGGAAACGCGGGGCCTCGGGACCGCGGCCACTGAGCATCTCCGCCGAGTGCGGAGCTGGCCTATCGGAGGCGGGCGTCTGGCCGCCCCCCGCTAATGAGGACAGAAAGAGGCGAGTGCCTAGCCGTGGGTAGTGGGGAGGGGGGCGGGCGAGGGGCTTCCTGCAGGGTGCTTCTATGCAGGGGTGGGCAGAGGCTTTTGTAAGGCCCTTGCCTAAGGCAGAAGTGTGCTTGCTGGGAGTCCTGAAGGGGCAGCTTCCGAGGTCTAGGAGCTCCTGGTAAGGTGACCAACTTGTCCTGACTTGCCCGGGACTGGCTCGGTTTTAAAACCGAAAGTCCCGTGCTCTGGGAACCCCCTCATTCGCTGGCACACCCAGGCATTTCTTGAAGAGAGCAGTTCCTGAATGGGACAAGCTCTGTGGGTCATTAGGACAGCCCTAAGGGGCGATGTCCTTAAGAGTCATTAAAAAGCAGTTCCCCAGTGAGCGAGGATTTGGGGGTCATTAGGAGCAGCTCTTGGGGAGGAGGTCCTGGGAGTCTTTAGACACGCGGGGTGGGGTGGGGGGGAGCGGGGGGGAGGGGGGAGGAGATTCCTAGAAGTTTAGGAGCAGTTCCTGAGGGGTAGTGAGTCACCTTAATCGAGGAGCTCCCAGATGGATGGGGAAGGAGGCGTACATGACGCTTTGATGGGTCAGAGAAAAGTAGAATACCCACAACCAGTCATAAAAAATGCACAAAATTATCCATGGATGAGTAATGCTGTAGAGTGCTGGAAAGGGCTATGGAGTCAGATTTGTGTTCCAAACCAGTGATCCTCTGAGTCTGGAATTTCCTGTCAGTAAAATGGAAAAGATAATACTACCCTTGCAAGATGGTTATGTAGATGAGAGCTCATATATGCTGGCAAAAAAAATGGTATAACATACAATGGTATGGACTTGGACCAGTCATACATAATATACCCCATGCTTCCCTCCTCCTCCTCCTCCCCAAAAGCAGAGTTCTGTTTCCAGAAAGACAAGGGAATGACTGTTAAGTAGTCAACCAATCGTTTTTCACAATTATAAGGTTTTTCTCTCTTGACCTAGTTGCATGAAATTCCTGCAAGGGGCTCAGCCCCCACAGCCTCGGCTTGCCTTGGCCCTCACAGCCCCAGCTTCGTCCAGAAGGTGGTTTGGCTGTCCGGTCTAATTAGCATATTACCCTTTTATTATTATAGATTATGTTGGGGCTCTAGCTGGTGCTCAGTGGTTAGAGCATCAGCCCACAGACTGAAGGGTCGTGGGTTCGATTCCTGGTCAAGGGCACGTACCTGGGTTTCAGGTTTCCCAGCCTGGTCGCTTGCGGGAGGCAAAGAATCGTTGTCTCTCTCACACCAGTGTTTGTCTATCTCCCCTCTCTTCCACTGTCTCTAAAAAAAATTAGTGAAGAAAAATATCCTTGGTGAGGATTTAAAAAAAAAATTATGTTGGATAGCTCACAAAATTGCTGAGTCTGAAGAACCCAACTTGGGGCATATAGCATGAGGAGAATAGCACGAAGTCATCACCCACCACTGTCCTTGCTGCTGCCACCAAGCACAAGATTCATCTCGCTTCACAGACTCCACTGCCCTGCACATGGATGTAGTTACTAGCACTGCTGCCACTACCATCTACTTCATGATAATCTCCTTACATTTCCTGCTGCTGCCAAAGAGGATCTTCTAAAATCAGTGCTACTTTGTATCACCAGCCTTCAACTGGAGTGTGCTTGAGAGTGTGTGTGTGTGGTAAGTGGAGCTTAGATTAACTTCTCTTGACATCCTCCCATTTCTGACCAGTTTATCTGTTACCTTTTTTTTTTTTAATATATTTTATTGATTTTTTACAGAGAGGAAGGGAGAGCAATAGAGAGTTAGAAACATCGATGAGAGAGAAACATCGATCAGCTGCCTCCTGCACACCTCCCACTGGGGATGTGCCCATAACCAAGGTACATGCCCTTGATCGGAATCGAACCTGGGACCCTTCAGTCCGCAGGCCGACGCTCTATCCACTGAGCCAAACCAGTCACGGCTATCTGTTACCTTTTTAAAAAATATTTATT